CAGTCCTTTAGGGGCATTTCTGGATTGGTGGGTGAGTGTGCCCCCTGGAGGCAGCGCAGTGTATTTTCCCAAATACGGTAGCAAAGTTTGCCACATTCAATGTTAATTTAACTATTATGTCAATTTTCTGCAAGACAAATTGCTGTCTATGGAATATTCTGTGTAGCTAGTGAGAATTGAATATGGAAAGCATGCTATTCAAAAGTTGTTTTGTGTTTAATGTGCAGGGTCAGGGCCAAGCTTGAGCAGGTGATGTTTAATTCTCAACAGGGCTCCCTGGCTCCTTTTTTTTTTTTTTAAGTCCTTGTTGATGTACACCCAGGGGTGCTTGTGGTGATAATAACAGTAGCTAACATATTTCCTGTCCCACCGTGTTCTTCAAGCTCAGAGTAGCCCCATGTGTTCAGTATAGTAGAATCCCAGCGAGGTGGAACCACTGTTAGCTTTGCTGTAAGTGACCAGGTAGCCACTAAATGGCAGTTCTGGGACTTGAATTCAGACAGCTTGGCTCCAGAGCTCCCTCAGGCTTTCCCCGAGCCCCCCTCCCCCCACATCACGTATAATGTCTGAGACAGTGGCACTGAATGCAGGAAGGGTTTGTGAACGTGTGCATTTTGCCCCTTCTTTGTCCCAAAAGGCTGAGAGTCTACAGGAGTTAGGAGCAAGGCTGAGGACACCTCTGAAGGGCAGATTGGAGGAAGGGCTGCGGGCGATAAGATGCTATGCTGTTTCCCAGGTCTCAGCCCCACTATCTGAGGCTGTTCAATGCAACTCGACCCTTGCCATGCTAGGGCCAAGACTGGGTGTGGTGGCGTGTGCCTGTGATTGTGGCTCTTGGGAGACAGAAGAGGGAGGATTGCTGCAAGTTCAAGGCCAGCTAGGGCTACACAGTGAGTGCTTGACTCAAGAACAAATGAAGTAAAGGAGCTGGGCGGTGGTGGCACTGGCCTTTAATCCTGACACTTCGGAGGCAGAGGGGCAGATCTCCGAGTTCGAGGCCAGCCTGGTCTACAGAGCAAGTTCCAGCACAGCCAGGGCTACACAGAGAAACCCTGTGTCAAAAAACCAAAAATAAGCCGGGCGTTGGTGGTGCACGCCTTTAATCCCAGCACTCGGGAGGCAGAGGCAGGCAGATCTCTGTGAGTTCGAGGCCGGGCTGGACCGACAGCCTCCAAAACAATACAGAGAAACCCTGTCTCGTAAAACTAAAAAACAAAACAAAACAAAAAAACCAAAAATAAAACAAACAAAACAATTAAAGAAACAAGGAAAAGGAAGGAAAAAAGAAACCCAATTCTGTGTGTGCTCCTAGGTAAGTGTGTGTGTTGGGGGAGCTCTAGGTGACATTCACAGACAGAACAGCAAGTCCACAAGCCTAGAGCAAGAGACTATGCCAGCAAGTGCTACTATCCATAGTGGGAGAGAGGAAAACTGCCATATTGACCTACAACAGACTCCCAGAAGCAACCTCAGTGTTGGGACGTGACCGGCCAACAGGATGCAGCATCCCCAGATGCAATCTGTGGAAGAAAGCGGACCAGACAGCCGGGTCACCCCTGGGTGATGTGACGACCACTGTGCTTGTCACCCACCCCCAGCCAGTACCAGAGAGGAGAGCTAGATGGCTTGTCATAGAGACTGTGACCAGATCCAGGTCCACTGCTGCCCTTGGTGTCATTGTCGTGACTCCTGGTATGTGTAGATCAGTGTAAGCAACAGACTTCAATCTCTTTTCAGCTGATTTGTCCGGCCTATGCCTGATGGGGCAGAGGACATTGTCTTCCTTCCTTCTTATGACAAAGCATTTCCCATGCAAGTGTGTGTCGTGCCTTCTCGTGAACTCTCTGAGGGTGACCTGGTCTCTCCCCAGGGCTTTGGGCAGCAATGGGCTCTCTGCCCCACATTCCCATGGTCTGATTGCCTCAGGTGTTATTTCTACATTGTACAGATGAGTAAGCTAAAGCCGAACTCAGATGACCTAAGGGCTCACCCCGTACCATGACTCTGGAGCTCTGGCTCCGGTGTAGTGGTTTGTACCCTGTCTAGACAGAGCTGGGCTCACTGGGGTGACTGCCCCCAAGTGGGTACCAGGTAGTGTGTGATTTCAGGTCTGTTCTGAGTTCTTTGAGCGAGGAAGCTCATTGTTTTCACTTAGCCCTTTTGCTAGTGAGAAAAGAGAAACTATATGACAGCCTGACTAGAAGCAAGCAGCCAGCGGAAGCACAAACACCTGGAAACGTGAGGAACCGCTGCCATCTGGTGGGCATCTTGGGTAGTGGTAGTGAATTGAGCGAGCTGGTGGCCCAGCAAAGTAGTTGTTATCTGGTGGCTTATTCTTTTTTTTTTTTTTCTTTAAATAACGACTACACAGTCATTTGAATGTTCATCTTGCTACAGGATATTTGCACATCCATTAAAACAATAAGTTTTTGCTGTTACACTAATCAAACCTGCTATATTCATACACATGAGGAGTGAATGAGTGTTCACGTACATATTTATGTAAATTTTCATCTATTTGGTGTGGGAGTGAAGAGGCATAAACCCTCTTCTTTAAAGTTGTGATTTCTCTATTTTCTTCACATTCACGTTTATTTCATCTTCATTACAAATACAACTTTCTCGTTTGCACTCGTTTTTGGTGGGAGTGCCCCGTGCACACGTGGAGGTTGGACAACTTGCAGGCATCTGCTCGCTCCTCTCGCCATGTGGGGCCCAGGGACAGAACTCAGTCCATCGGTCTTGGAGGAGGGGCCTCTGCCCACTGAGCCCCTGCCCTCCCCTTTATTTCTGAGAGAGGTTACACTGGCACAAACCTCTAGGTTTGTAGTTTGTTTCCAGAGCTTTAAAGACGTCACTCCACTCTTCCTGGCGTTGTTTCCAACAAGAAAAGGCCCCTGTCTTTGTTGTTCCCTTGTACACACTGGGGGGGTTGTTGTTGCTTTGTGTGTGTGTGTGCATGTGTAAATGTGTGTGTGCATATGTATGTGATTTTGTGTGTGTATGCTGGTGTGCATGCATGTGTAAATGTGTGTGTATAGATATGTGATTTGTGTGTGTGCTGGTGTGCATGCATATGTGTGTGTGCACCTGTGTGGGCATACATGTGCAAATGTGTGTGTGCATAGGTATGTGATTTGTGTGTGTGTGTGTGTAGTATGTACACATGTGCATACAGGAAGTCCAGCAGCTCACATTAGGTGTCTTCCTTCATCACTCTCCATCTTTATTTTTGAGACTGGGTCTTTCACTGAGCCAGAAGCTCATGAACTCAGTGAGGCTGCCTATGAGGACAAGAGGAGCCTGTCTTCACCTTCCAGAACAGGGGCTACAGATGTACAGTCTCCTTTGGCTGTTAAATCTTAATGCTTGCCTGGCAGGAACTTCACCAAGTGAACCATCTCCCTAGCACACTAAATCATTTTTTGTGGCTATTTTTATCTTTTATGATTTGGAAACTAGATAGCCTTTTAGAAAAGATCATCTTTAAATTTTTATGTCACCTCTAAGCTAATAATTATCATGGACTCAATGTTTGTGCCTCCTAAGTTTATAGATTGAGGTGAATTAATCCATTGCTCTTCTAAACGTTTAAAAACTGAAATAGTGCATTAAATCTCCTTTCTCAATGAGAAATTTAGCATGTTTTACCTCTATTCTCCTCCAAGTTATTATTTATGCTTATTCCAATAAGTATTTTTAAATGTTTGCATTTGGTTTGTGAATGAGACATTAGACTTAGATGTATATTTAACTGCTCACTAACCTGGTTTAATTGCTGGGTTATTTATACTGATTTTCCAATCATGTGAGTCCCAGTGGCAGGTGTTCTTAGGTGGCCCTGGGACCCATGTCTAGACCTAGCTTATGTTTTCCTTATCCTGCTTTAAACTACGGTAGATCTCTTAGTGAGACGGCTGTAGACTCCAGCTCCCTGCTTGCACTGAAGACAGCCTTCACTTTTCGTACTTCTAGTAAGCGGGGGGGGGGGCACTGCTCCCCTGTCTGCATCCATCTAGCAACTGCAGGGGATATATGAGGAGGAAGCAGGTCCCATTACCATTTTTAAATATTTTATTATTTTTAAATCATGTGTGTGTGGGTACCTGCATTCATATGCAGGTATCCACAGAGGCCAGTAGAGGGCATCAGATCCCCTGGAACTGGAGTTACAGGCAATTGCGAGCTACCTGATGTGGGTGCTGGGAATCAAATTTGAGTCCTCTGAATGAGGAGCAAGTGCTCTTAATCACATAGCCATATCCCTAGCCCTGCTGTCACCCTTAAGCAGCAGCAGGTGGAGTGGCACGATGATGGTTGACCTAATCAATGGGCATGGCTATAGGAACAGAAATGCCCCCTTGTTCTACCCGCTCAGGGTGATTTCAGCATAGGCTCACTTGACAGCTAGCCCCAGAAATCTCTCTCCTCCTTCCCAATGCTAGGGTTACGGGCATAGCCATCCATAATCGGTTTTTTTTTTATGTCGGTGCTCGGAATTGAACTCAGGTCCTCATTTTTGCATGGTGGACAGTTTACTGACTGAGCCATCTCTCCAGTTCCTCTTCACGTTTTTAAGTAAGAGAGGGCAAAAGGAGCTTTCCCTCTTGCATTCTCCCCCCAAGCTCTCATCCTTTCTTCTTAGGAGCGGCTTCTTCGCTCTCCCTAACCCTTGGCTGCTGGCCTAACATCTGCTCCCACTCTGGCCTCCGCACCTGCAAATGCAGGGCCAGCCATCTGGGCTGCTCCCATCTTATCTGCTGCAAAGCGGCCTTTGCGACTGTGTCAGCCCCACCCAGTCGCTCCTGGCTCAGAGGACAGTATCGTGGCCTCCCCTCCCACATCAGAACTCAGCAATACTCGTGCTCAGCTTTCTACATGTGAAAAAGGTCACAGTTCCTTGTATGACCCACATATCCATCCGTGGGCCCCTTCCTGACCCCACCTCCCCAGGGGCCGGGAGCCCCGAGTAGCCCCCGACAGACATGGGTCACACACGGTGGGAAGCCAAGCACATCTGGTTTACTAGGGTGAGATCTGCAGGTGAAATAACAGCACACACAGAGAAATCCACGGGCAGAGTCCACCCCAAACACAGTCAGACGCCAAAGCAGAAAAGGGCCTTTGGAAAGTTCTCGCGGAAATCAAAGGGAAGCTTTGTTGCTCATAGATTCAAACAGAAAACCATATAAAACCAACCCATAAATATATATATTATATATGTATATATATAAAATTGCAAAATAAAACCCAAGAGCCTAACCATCCAACTGCACTTCAGTGGCTCAAAGTGTTAGCATATAGAAAGGCAGAACCGTTTGTGGGGATTGATGTGTGTTCTTGGGGGAGGGCAGCATGTCACAGCACAGAGTATTACACGGAATCCCTCTTTGAAACCTCACAGTACTAGGAAAAGCCCAACACAGACAGCCTATGTACAAGGGAAGACAGTAAGTCATACTCTCATGTGACGATTGTCCGACAGACATTTCACCAACACCGCCCACAGCATTCCTTACGAGACACCACACTCCCTGGCCAGCCTGAGTTCCTGGAACCCTGCACCCCATGGGTCCTGATAGGTGCCTGCTTCACCCACTCTGCCTAATCTCTTCTCAGAGAGGGAGGACCCTGGGACTCATCACCCTTAGCAGTCTAAGGAATTCATAGACAGGGCAATCTTGTGGTATGCATCACCAACACAGTAAGACCCACAGGCACAGGGTGGCATTGAAATGAGGGTCTGAAGCTTCCCCAAACTTACTGCCATCGTATAAGGGTCTGTGATGTTTCCCAAGTGAGACCCCCTGGCTTAGGTCCAGTTGCCATTCCGATTTATGTTAGAGGGGCCACAGGCTGGTTTACTGGAGAAAAAAATTAGGTCCTTCTCAATATTCCTTGATTTCTGGTGATGTCATCTCTATCCAAGAGACAAGGGTAGTATCCTCAGGGCAGTCTCACTCAGGTGCTTGGGACAGAGAGCGTGAGGAAGCAACCGAGGACCTGACTCCTGAGACCCTCCCAGCACCACGAGCCTCCTCGGTCTGGCCTAAGCTCTCAAAGTGAGGATCGATTTATGGGATAATCTTGAAGACAGCTGGCACAAAAGTCAATTTGGCAAAAACCCAATAGTCATACGCGAATGAGGCAGGACATGACTTCCATACTTTCTAGGGACACCCAAATACTGAGTCTTTCTAATTGTCCCTATGAAAAGAAGCAAACCAGGGCACTGCCATGCAAAGTTGCTGAAAGGTGCCTTGTACTCTGAAGGACATCCCACTGTGTGAGATTCCCCAGAGGCTTCCCAAGTGAGAGGCAGAAGGCAGTCAGGAGCCTTGGGAACAGAGCTCTCTATGTGGCCTGTCACTTTTGACAGGAAGAGTACCACATCTAGGTTAGATGGGGCTCTGGCAAGCAGTCACAGCACTGGGGGTGCCCCTTCACATTGGAGGAAGAGGATGTGTGCACAGGAAGCCAATGGACATGTTTCAAGAACGTCAGTCGCCTCTGGACCTTCCTTCTCATAGTAAACCACCTGTTTCAAGCCACACGTGGAGCAGGCATGATGTCCTATTACATGTCCTATTGAGCTGTGCCCTGGCCTGTTCCTGGGAGTAGAGAGCAGATATCTGGCATTCCACTCAGTTCTCAGATTTTCTGAATTATATGGGGTCATAGAAAGTTCAATTGGGCTTAGAGACAAGAAATGTAAGAGGCCTCAGGGCCTCTCTGGCCACAGTGGATGGTAACTGTGCCAAAAGCCCAGGGTATTTGTGGGACCACATGTGTAAAATGAGCAAGGGGTGAATGTTTCAATAGTCCTTTCAGCTGTCAAGAACTCATTACATTTGGCCTAGAACTAAGACATAAAATTCACAAACGTAGGTCTAATCTTTTACACTCAGGGGCGAATGGTTCTTTCCGACCCATTACAGCATTTCTGCGCACAGCCACAGGAGCAGTGGCCCTGTTACCACAAGACCAGATGCCTGCCATCTTGCCTCATTGTTAACCTATAGGGGTTAGGGTCAGGCGTGGTCTCCATGATTGGGTGGCTCAGAGCAGTGCCTTACAATGGGTTTGTGAGAGACTTGTCCTCGTCCATGTCCCTCACATCCTCTGTCCACAAAGCAAGGACTTCACACCCATTACAAAGTGGCACCTGACTCTTCCCATGGCTTAAGAGGGACCCGACCTTGGCTGGAGTGCAGAGCATCTCTGGGCAGGTCCCCCGCCCCCCGGCTGGGTTGGGAGATGGTCACACAAAATGGGAAGCCCTCTCGGATCACAACCACTTCCAGTGTGTGACATCCAAGGAGCCAGGATTGCCTCCCTCTCTCTCCTGTGCACCTGTGTGTGGGAACAGGTCAAGAAGCGGCTTCACTTTTCCAACCGGCTGGTCGCACAGGAGCACCAATGCTCTCCTTGGTAACGACTGCAGTGGCTCCGTGAGAAACTCTGAGCCTGCAAACACCCCTCCTCATCAGTTGAACCATGAGCTGACTCTTACACAGAGCCAGAGAAAATGCTGTGTCTGGGCTGCCCCGCCGTCTCTGCAGCCCTCAGAGCTGTGCACACCACATTCTTTATGTACAAGGGAAGAAGGAAATAGACAAAATGTCTTTACACTTCTCCCACCATCTCATCCCAAAGCAAAACAGGGCCCGAGGCTGCGAACCCAGCAGTATTAGCTCCTGAAAACTTGTTCAGGTGTTTCTATCACAAGAATCCCACAAGAGGAATTCTAAGCTGGAGACTTTCCGGTGCAGTGGGGGATAACACAGCCCAGAACTCACCAGCAGCCTCACCCACACTCTCTCCACTTGGCCACCAAAGTGACCCTACAACACACTTCTGTTCATGATTCTACCCTAATTAACAGTCCTCAGTGTCTGGGACATGGTAAAATCCAGATCTCCTACACTGTCTACAAGTCTTCTTATGACCCAGCCTTGCCCACCTGGGATGTAAACCTCTGTCACCTCTCACATAATGCTCTGACAATACCACGTGACCCGGAAGGACGGTGTGTGGGGTCCCATGCTCTCACATCTGTCCACCTCTGCTGACTCCCCCCTTCCACTTAGAAAGTTCCTGTCTGTTTGTAAAACCTAATTCAGCCATCAGTTTTCCAGAAAGACCGGACAGTCAGTCATGGCTGCCTGGCTCACCTGTGTATCCTGCCTGCTCTGTAACTTGTCTACGTGTCTCACATGTTCACAGATGAGTGTTTCTGAACATACAAGGAATAAACAGATGGGTGAGTATGAGCTAAATTCAGGGCCTTGACCCCAAAGATGACATCCCAGCAAAGTTCTGACACTTTACCCTAAGCAAGCCTCACTGTCATAAAGGTAACAAAAGGAGCACGCTGGGCAATGGACTCCATCCTGAGCACTGGTTCACACAAACGCCACCTATTCTGGGTTGACGCCTCTCAACTTTTAAGTGTCTGACACAAGTGGATGGTTAATGACTATTAAGAGAAAATGAGTAAGTGTGAAATCTTATTTCTAAGAAAGCATCTCCCATAGGAAGATAGACGTTTCTGAGCACTCACACACAGGGCCATTGGGCTGTCTGTCGTTTGACTTGACCCAACTAGGAAGCAGAGCAAAAACAGGGCCTGGGCAGCAGCCACAGATCGGCACTAGGTTCTCAGATCTGTAAGAGACAGACAGACAAATGTGGGGGGCTCTCCTGCTGCAGCCAGAGGGTTCAGCTCTGCATTATCAGAGGCATAGATCTCACCACCACCCATGCTCACCAGGAGCTGACTGCATCACTTAGGGTGACGACAGGTGGCCTCTCTAACTTCATCCTAAGTGCTAACACCACACAGCCAAGACCAGTTGCAGAAATGGCTAATGGCCAAAGCCACTGTCCATTTACCACAGCTGGGAAGAGTCAGTACTTGGCTCAGACTGACCTGGGTTCAAAACCAGCCTTTGGGTCTTGCTTAGCAAGTTAATTATCCCTGATGGGGTTCAGTTTCCTTACCACAGAAAAGGGAGGCATGGGGTATTGAGAGGGCGGAGGGTAAAGCCTGTATGGTATCTGTAGACAGCAAGTGTGCAAAGTGAAAAATGATGGTGAGTCAAGAAATTTCAAAAATACCTTTACAGTAATCTGGACAAAGAAGAGAAATACTCTTTGAAGACACTGTGCTTTAGGGAAGAGGGATTGTCTGGGAGCCAGAAGTGCTCATTAGCCAACACTATTCCTTGGGAGGATATGGAAAGAGTGTGGGCACCTAACATAACAGCTGTGCCCATCACCAAGTCTGGGATGCAAGAGAGTGATGGGTTGGGAGTGTCAGACATGTCTCCGAAAGTTGATGAGAGAGAATTAACCCAGAAAGACTCATTTCTGACTGTCCTCTGCTGGGCCTTCTGTGACTCAGAGTTGGGACCCAAAGAACCAAGGTCAAGGTGCCAAGGGTAAGATGCTCTGCCCTATGGGCTCCTGGGTATGTGGGAAGGTCAAAGGACACCTGACTGCCAGGCGAGAGTGAGGCCGGTGCAGTCCTGCATATCACGCAAAGCCAAAGTGGCATTTGACCCTCCTCGCATAACTCAACTCCAGCACAAGATTTAGATGTCCTCAAACGTCTACCCTGAGCATGAGACTTTTTCTTTTGATACAGGTGGGTTTAATTTTGCAGCCTGTGTGATACACAATACAGACAGGCCAGGATCCTAGGCTATTAGATTTACGGCCCCTGTCCATTCATTAAGCTGACTTGGCTTGCCCTCTATCTGTCGGTTCTTAGGGTTCTTCTATCCATCACTCAATGGGTTCCATGTTGAAAGCTCGGGATTAGCGTTTGGAAAAGCACAAGCTAAGCCATCAGCCTGGGGATCAAAGATTAACTTCTATTGGGGGGGGCAGGTCAGTTTGCCTGGTTACTTTGAACAGGAGAAGGGACCCAAAATGGAAGAGAGAAGCATGGCTTCTTGCTGTGGAGACAGCTCCATTAGCAAGAGGCAGGATTCCTGGGAAAGATGGACCTTACTCAGAGGAAGTCTTGGCCTGTGAGCATTGGTGACCATGCCTAGCACTTGGCCTTCCTGCCCTGGGCTCAGGCTGGCAGGTGGTGTCCTAACAAAGGCAGCCCAGGACTAGGCAGTGTTGAACAGAGGACAGAGCATGACCGTGGGAGTCAGGAAGCTCAAATCTAGGGCAGGCCCTGCCCCCAACTAACTGTGGCTGTGGGCAAGATACCCGGTTGCCCTGGGAAGGCCAGCTCAAAGCCCCCCTCTGAGTATGATCCCAGGTCCTTCTCTATCCCTCATTGGCCCTGTGCTCCAGGGACAGAGTAGGGACAAGGGCAGGGCAGGAGGGCAGGGATGCAGCGGGAGCCACCGATCAGGATTCCACCTTCTCCTTCTTCTTGCTCTTTTTCAGGAAGGAGGGGGTTCGGAATTTCTTTTTCTTTTTGGAGGGTGACTTGGATGGCGAGCCCTCTGGGGACAACGGGCCACTGGTAACTGACTCGGTTTTGTCCTTGTAACTGTCAGCATCAGTGTCAGCATTGGTGGTCATCTGGCCCAGTCCTTTGCTGAGGGCCTCTTCTGCGTTTGGCTCCTCCTCCTTCCCATTCACCACTACCCCTTCAGGTTTCTCTGGCTCAGGCTCCGTGGTGGCTTCACTGTCTTCTGTCTTCTTGGCATCTAGGAAAAAGCCAGAAGACCCAGCTGTAAGAGTTCATGAAGGTGAGTGGGGAGGTCTGGAGCCAGGGGTGGGTGGGCAGGCTGGCATGGGGTGGGAGCAAGGATCCTGGAACAAAGGAGGGACGGAGTTCTCATCTCACCCCGCCTGCCTTGGGGAACACTCCCTGGGCAGGTGAGACTCTGGGTTCTTGTCTACATATTGAAACACGTGTTGGTTTCTGAACAAGCACTGAATTCAGGCACCAAATGAGAATGAGGAGGTGCGCCCAAGGGAGGAGAGAATCTGTGGGCTGCATGTCCTGGTCGTCTCGGTGGAAGCATTGTGATAAACGGCCCAGTTGCACCAACCAAAACATGATGACCACAGGTCTTCATACCTACCTACGCAGTGGCAGGGAACTTAGGGAACCAGTGTCTTCCCGGGGGCAGAGAGGAGAAGCAGGAAGGACCCAGCATTTCCATAACAGCCCAAGGAGGTCATTCTAGTGGCTGCCAGGCTCCACACTCAAGGGCAGCATGCTTAGACCCCAGGCACTAAAGTCCCCTGCTGTCCCTTCTCCCCAGCTATGCTGGCTTTGAAACTCCTGTGTAAAGAGGAAGGAGGGGAACTATAAAGCCACAGACACTGAAATGTAGAAAGTGACTGGAAGACTTCCTGACTCCTTCCTTTCCATTTCACAGCTCAGAACGGGGGAGCTACACAGTGCAGGCTCGGGTCCTGGTTTCTCCTCCACATGCTTCCCATCCACGGTGAGAGACTGCTGGTGTGCGTACGAGTGTACTGTACCTGCTGAGCACAGCTGTGTGCTGTGTGAGAGGCGAGCATGTGAGTGTGGTGTAGACTGTGTATGCATGCATGTGTGTGGTGTGCACGCATGTGTGTGTGTGATGGGATCCAGGGTACCTTTGGGTGTGAGCATCACTATCAGAGGAATTGGCACACGGTCTGCTCTATGGGAATGTAAGCAACGGGGGAAGGTGAAGCCATGCTTCAGAAGCGGGTAAGAAAAAAGCCCTAGCACCCACACTGCAGAGTGACTTGAGACTGCGATCTGTGTGGATTGGGTGAGCTTGGGGTAGTCACAACAGGCTGGCCCAACAATCTGGCAAGATGTTACAGTGAGGACTTTCATTCCGTCTCAATCCAGTTTGCTAAAGTTCTCTCCAGACCCACTGAGTGTGGGCTCCCTTATAGTACCAGAGACTGGCTGCTGCCCCCTATTCATTCCACGTTCCAGACTGGAGCCTGGAATACAGCACTGACTCATCAGCTGCTGCCCTGACTCCTGCAGCCTGAGCTGTGGTCCCCTCACCTCCATGTGCATTCCCATGGCTGCCACCTGGCAGTGCACCTCAGTGCCACACATCTGCTGGGACATGTCCTCTCTTCATTCTCTTATTTCCCCTCCACCTTTGACTTGGTCTTATCCACCATCAATCCCCCGACCCATCCCTGTCACCCAGGTTCCACTATCTGGGGAAGGCTCCTCTCCTCTCTCTGTGTCCAAAAACTTAACCTTATACAATAGATTTGGTTTTTATGCTTGGTCTTCCTTTAACACCAATGCCGTATGCCCATTTTACATTGCCATGTGCTGTCAAACACAAACTCTCTCTTACTTCTGTGTCGCCATCTCCTGGTCAGCAATAACATGGTTGAACCTTTCTCTGTGCAAGGCCAGATGCAGGCTCCATAGAGGACACCTGGCCTCTTCAAGAACATGCTCATCTTTCCACCCTGGGTCAGACACATGGTTGCTGGCCTGGCCTGCCAGTTAGACAGCAACAGCAAGGGAGATAAGGGGATGGCCTGGAAGTGGGTTTGGGGAGGTGCTTCTGAACTCAAGGTCAACCAGACTAGTCCTGGCCTGTATCCCAGTGCATGCAGGACTGGTGACTACCATGCAAGGTTTCTGTTTCCCTAATGAAAAGGATGCTCTTCACCGTGGCGTGCAGAAGCCCGAGAAAGGCTCATTAAAGGTTGGGGAAAGTATCATTCATGATCAGTGCTGACACGGCGCCAGGGTATCATGCTGGCCCACGAGGCACTCAAAGCGCAGAGCAGGGAGCAGAGGGCTAGCAAGCAGAACAGCCTGGTGAGGCTCCATGAGCAGGAGACTAGCCAGCAGAGCCCAGCACCAGTTTCTGTCCTCATTTAAATTCCAGAACATGAGTGTCTGAAAGAATGGTCCAGATTCAACTTGTGCAAATGCGGTCTTTCTCCATGTTAGGGCCTGAAGCAGACAGTGGGTCACTGTGTGTGTGTGAGTGTGAGCGTGTGTGCATGTGTGTGTGAATGTCTGTATATGTGTGGTGTGTGTATGTGTGTGAGTTTGTGTGTGTGTATGTGTATGTGAATGTGTGTATGTGTGTGGTGTGTGTGCATGTGTGTGGTGTGTGTGCATGTGTGTGGTGTGTGTGCATGTGTGTGAGTGTGTATATGTGTGTTTATGTGTGTGTGAGTATGTGTGTGTATGTGAGTGTGTGTATGTGTGTGTGAGTGAGTGTGTATATGTGTGTGGTGTGTGTGAGTGTGTGTATGTATGTGTGTGAGTGAGTGTGTGAGTTAGTGTATATGTGAGTGTATGTGTGTGTGAGTGAGTATGTGAGTGTGCATAGGTGTGTGGTGTGTGTGTTTATGTGTGTGGTATGTGTGAGTGAATGTGTGTATGTGTGTGGGTGTGTGTGAGTGTGTGTGGTGTGTGTGAGTGTGTGAATGAATGTGTGTATATGTGTGGTGTGTGTGAGAATGTGAGTGAATGTGTGTATGTGTGTGGTGTGTGTGAGAATGTGAGTGAATGTGTGTATGTGTGTGGTGTGTGAGTGTGTGTGAGTGAGTGAATGTGTGTATGAGTGTGTGAGTGAGTGTGTATATGTGTATATGCGAGTGTGTGTATGTGTGTGTGGTATGCATGTGAGTGTGTGAGTGTGTGTATGTGTGTATGTGTGTATGTGTGAGAGAGAGTGTGTGGTGTGTGAGTGTATGTAAGTGTGTATGTATGTATGTGGGTGTATGTGAGAGAGTGTGTGTGTGTGTGTGTGAGTGTCTGCCTCACACATGTTAGGCAGGTGCTCTACCACTGAACCACATCACATCCCCATCTCTCTAAATTTCTGGTTTTACCAAGTCATCAGGCCATTTTGACATAAAAAGACCTTGGCTGCACAGTGGGACATTTGGGTTCAGAATATACTTCTGCTGACTCACCTTGGCTGAGACTCAAAGTTCCTCCAAGTCCTGAATATACTGTTGACATGTGGGATAACTCAGACCCTACTGTGCAGAGCTTCTTGGTATTGACAGGTTCGTGTAGCCCCTGTTGGCTCCATGGCTTCTGGTAGCCACCAGAATGTAGAGAAATGTTGCAAAGTTGGGCTTAGGCTAAAGACCTAAGAAGGTCTAGAAACTTCTGCCTAACAGCTTTGGGAGACATAGGCCACCATGAATGAAGTCCACCGACACCAATGGAAATGTGGAGTGAGACACAGAGACAGAGGCATCCCCGCTGAGCCCTGATTCTTCCTGTCCCCACCAAGGCACCAGCCATGTGTGCGCTGTATCTTGGAAGTCCTGGCCTAGTCATGCTCATATCTGATTGTCTGTGGTCGTGGCTGATCGCACACAGGGCTAAGCCCACTGACATCCATTGAGCTAAGCCCAGTCAACCCTAGCCAATGCACAGGAGAGCTAGCTCCCTGTGGACCATGGTTGGACAATGATCTGATGCTACAGAGCTAACCTGCCCAAGTCTTGGAGGCCAGCAGCATCAAGGACTAGTAAGTTCTCACAATTCAAGGAGCACAGTCTTTAATAAGAATGGATTCATGTGAGCACACTGCAAAATTGCTCATTGTCTCCTGACACACACTCACTCTCGCTCTCAAAGACCTACAGCTGATATCAGCTGTCTTCTTTGATGCATCTCCATTTTATTTATTGAGTCAGGGTCTCTCAATTGAACACAAAGCTCACTGATTGGCTAGAGCAGCAAGCTAGTTTGTCCTTGGGCTTCTTCTGGCTTCGTCTCTTGAGTTCTGGGATTACAGGGACTTGCCATGCCTGGTTGGATTTCACATGTTCATGCTGCAGCAAGCACTTATATCCATTGTGCCTTTTCCCCAACCCTCTGAAGTGTTTTGAGTGGTTTATTTGAACTAATGGATTATTCTGTGAGCATCTGACATGAAACAGGAGCTATTTCTTTGTAGCTCAGCCCACAGCCCTGAGTATTCCCTGGGGGCTGCAGTCAGTATGGATACCATTGCTCAGGGTCTGGGCAAGGAGAAGGAAATATAATGGTGAGCAGATGTGGAGGAGGAGTCGCCTTAGAGAGGCTGAGGGTGCTGGATTCAGATTCCGGAACATAGGTGAAGACTGACATGGATACTCAGCAGGAGAGGACAGGGAGCACAGTGACAGGTGGCTGGAAACCCTTCATCTAATGGGTAGGACACATGTGGGAACATAGTTACTGTGCCCGAGTGCATTCTGCCTGCCCCAAGGAGCTGGTCCAGCCCCACCACACTGCAGCTCACATCTACATCACGTGTGTCAAGATAGCCATGCTCCTAGCTGTCTGTGGCACATAAAACCTCTTTAGAGAAAACTGTAACTTCAGTTATCCTACCGAGTCAAGTGCAGTGGGCCCCATGAAGGGGTAGATTTGGTCCAGAGATAACGAGTGTAATGCCCAGTGGTAGGTGGGTGGCTGTTCTAGCCATCCACGCTCTTCCTGTTTTCTATTCCTCTCAGGAGCTGACAGGAATCCCTGGATTTGTCACCTTCTGCCATGGGCCCTCTCAGGCTCTCCCTGCATTTCCTTCCTGCAGCCTGTACACATGTGCTAATGGACAGTCACAGGCCAGGTCCTCTGCACATATCTAGGCAGCATCTGAGGCCCTGAGAGAATCCAGGCTCTGCTCAAAGTTCTAGAAGAGGCTCCTTAGAGGTGCCAAAGTGGGGCCAGTGAGTAATTCCTGTTAACCACGATGCTCTCCTGCAGCTCCTATCCCTTCCCACGGGACTAGTTCTCTTTCCCTCCCCCCTCCCTCCCCCTGTCTCCCTCTGTTGTTTTTTTTTTTTTTTCAGACAGGGTTTTTCTGTGTAGCTTTGAAGCTTGTGCTGGAACTAGCTCTTGTAGACCAGACTGGTCTTGAACTCACAGAGATTCACCTGCCTCTGCCTCCTGAGTTCTGGGATTAAAGGCATGTGCCACCACCACTTGGTTCTCTCTGTCTGTCTGTCTGTCTGTCTGTCTGTCTGTCTGTCTGTCTGTCTCTCTCTATGTGTCCATGTCCCTTACAGGAAGCCTAGTTCATGCACAGCACAGGTGGAACTGGTAATGAATTTTACATCTGAAAACCTTGGAGGGGAAACATTTCTTTTGAAAAGCTCCTCCCTCCCTGTTGCGAGTGCCAGGTGAGTTAGGAAGTGGCCTCTCTATACTTACTACAGAGACAAGTATTCAGACTCGGAGGAAAGTCCTTTGACGAAGGCACAAATGGGAAGAGAAAGGAAGACATTGTGGACAAGTTGACAACACACCACGATGAGACCCAGTGAACACACACAGCCAGAGGAGAGGCGGGAGGGACATCCACTTGGGGCTCTGGCCTCAAGCAGATGGGTTTTCTCCAGCAAGGCTGGGCCTGTATGCAGGGCAGTGGTTGGACTGGAGAGGAAGCTCAGGGTAGAGGTGCTACCAGAATCATACATGTGACCCATCACCTAGGAAGGGGATCCCAGCAGCCAGGCAGAGGCTGTCCTCTGGGTGTCCCTCTCTGGTAGTTTCTCAGGGACCTAGTGGAGCATCATGGAGGTGGCAAGGGACCACAACAGCACTGTTACCACGTATGCCTTAATCATAGTTGGTCCTATGCTCAAATTATCCCCTACTCCTTCAAAGTATGCTGTCACCAACACTCCCTTTGGGCACAGAAGAACTGTAACAAGGGAGCATTTGACTGAGGCATGCAGTAGGTCTCTGAACTACAAAAATTAACAGTTTTTTGAGCCTGAAATTTTATTGCCTAAACTTATTGCCTAAACTCATGTCCCTCTAATGACAGGGATTTTAGCTGGTTCACATTTTAGAGTGCCTGGAGAAATGCGGAGGGTGTGCTCCAGCCCACAGAACCAGGGGGTCCCAATGCGTGACACCATCAGGTCATGACCCTGAGAAATGCAGAGTCTTAGGCCCCATCTCAGACCTGACAGAGCAAAGCCCTCATTTTAGAGAGATCCTCCCCACACCAGCATCCAAGGACCAGATGGCACAACCGGCCATCTGGGGATGGGGAGGCTGTGGGTCAGCCCTTTATCTCTGCTTGGAAGGGCTTTGGCTTGGAAGGGTTTGGCTGTTAACTAGTAAGACAAACTGAATCTTGCCCAGACTGCCTAGAACTGTCCGAGAGGAAGCATTTCCCGTGGGAGCGAGGCCACCCTCCCCCGACAAACCCTTGCCAACTACCAACAGTTCTCCACCGTGTACAGACCACCACTCCCCCACACAGGTGTCTTTTGAAGTCTGCCCAGCCCCACTCACCCTCTGAAGCCTTGGAAGGAGAAACTGCTGGGCTCTTGGTCCCCGCTTTCGTCGGGCTCTGCACTGGAGACACAGGTGTGGACTTTACAGGTGAGCTAGGCTCTTCTGTGGCTGTGTCCTTCTCCCCTGAACACAACAGAAACCCAACTTAGCACAGAAGTCACAGAGACAAGAGGGACAGGGCGAGCGTGAAAGCCAGTGCTTTCTACCTAGCCACCTGTGGCTGAGGAGTTACTGGGCCCTCCTTAGCTCAGATTTACACCTGCTTTTTCCTAGGGAAGTTAAAAGGGGGCAGCAAGAGTTATACATCACCTCCACAGCTGCCCCTGTGAGGAGGTAAGGTGGCAGGAGACTGTCATGTGCCCGACCCACCTGGCTCTGCAGGTATTGCCGAAAAGGACCAGCCCCAGACACACCCCCAGGGGGAGGCAGAGCCCCCAACAGCCACTGGCTCTCCTTAGGAACACCCAGGCTTGTTCACAGTTGCTAGCTTGCTAGCTAACTCAGTTAATTCACACCTTCCTTTCAAACAATCCCTAGTACATTTCTCTACTTTTTCCTAACTGGCGCATTTGAACTCCAAGCAAGGCAAGAAACAGTACTTGAAAAGATGTCTAACTCTGGAAGAGAAGACGAGGTGGTGGAGGCCCCCACTCTGGGTAAATTATACCTGGGTCTAAGTGGTTTCGGGCCCCAGCTGCTCTTGAAGCAAGGAGGGGAGACAGCTCCTTTGGGCAGAGTGGGAGGGTGAGAGGAGACATCTCTAGCCAAAGAGGGATTTGAGGTGGAGCCTGTGGTATAGATGACTTGGTTCAGGCTAGCCCAGAAGGGGACAAAAGCATGAGTTAGCAAGTCAACACACCCACCAGGAGTTTCAATGCAGAGGGACTGACTGGACTCTATCGTCTGAAGCAAGGAGAGTGGATTCAGCTCATAGAATCCTGGCTACCAGGCGGATAGACTCACTCCAGACCTTATGCGACCGTAACACCTGTCCCATAACTGCTAACACCAACCTGTTGTCTACTGACCTTTGTCACAATCAAAGGCACAATTCTAAGTACTTTGCAGGTACCAGCTCCTTCATATCCAGAGGAGCAGGGTCAGTGATGCCATGAAGGCGCCTGCCCATGGAGCTGTGAGGCAGTGGTCACCTTTAGCTATATTCTGCTAACAGTGCTATCTGGTAATGGGGCAAGAAGGTCCTCCCAGGGACAACAGACCCCAGTGAGGAGTCTGAGCTCTTGCTCTGGGCTGGCAGGTCCTGCAGCTGTGGCACGCATGTTTACCTTCCTGCTCCTGCTCTCTTTTCTTCCTTTCCACCTCCTTCTTGTAGTCCTCCAGTTCCTGGTCCGTGAGTTGGCTGAAGGGGTTGGGCACGGTCTCCTCTGATTCGTCTTTGGTATCTGCATCACCCTTGGACGCCAGCTGGCTCTCTGTAGACTGAAAGTTAACCAGAGTGTGTGTTGCTCTCTGACCCCTGTGCTGGGGCCCAAGCTGGAACTTCTCTCACGCTCAGCTGGCAGTCAGCTCTTGCTAGGGCAGTGACATGGAGCTCCTTGGAACCAAGCTTGGGGCCTTGGGGGAAAGTTCATTCCTTGTCCTCATCGCTATATTCTCCCCACACTTAGACTTTGAAACTGTCCTGGTGAATATAGGGGTTCACCCTTTGCCCTTGAAATGAAATCAAAAGATGCTCCCAAGCAGAAGACACACCTTTATTGCAATCCCATCTATGGACACTTCCAAGCCATGACTGTGCATACATTTGGTTGCCCAGAGTCAGTCAGACAAAGTCTAGCAAGCATAGCATTGGCTAAAGCAAGCAGCATGCCAGGCCCCTCCCCAACTGCCCCGCCCTGTCCCCCAACAGCAGTGCAAGCCACAGTACACAGCATTAAAACAGCAAGACACAGGGGCTGCAGCATTCTCAGTCCAAGCAGTGAGTCCTGGAGTTATAGTGACCAAGAGCCAGATCCTTCAGCGAGGATCTTCGGCTGCCTGTTCCTCAGGCCCTGGCAGGGGCACTAGCAGAACTTCTGCTTTGCATCCTGGTGGAGTCCCTGAATCTGAGATCTGACTAGCCAGACACTTGTAAGCTCCAAGCATCATTTGGTCCCTCTTGCTCAAGGGGAGGACTGAACCACAGACCCCACTGCCCTCTTCCTAAGTGAGTGTCCTCACTGTAGCCTATCCAAAGGCATTGCTTGCTATCTGTGGAGGAGGAGCACAGAGTGAAGTCTCAGGGGAGGTGATCTCAGAGCAACCAGGGGTTCTGGTCACAGCTTATGGGCTTCTCTTATAAGGGAGACAACCATAGGCTTATCACAACAAGTTTCAGAGTCAACAGTGAGTCTAAGACAGACCCCAAGGACAGGGAGGGACTCTAATGAGAACCTTGCTGAGAAGGGCAGAGCTGCTTTGAACAATCCGGCTCTGTGCTGACCTTTCACCCCTCTGGGATCACAGGCCATTTCTAACCTTGACCCTATGGTGTGTTCAGAGTTCGTGACTTGGCTGAGTAGGGACGGTCAGGAGGCAGGTGTGAATGCATAGCCTCCTTCTGCCTCATCTGCAACCTTCACATCCCATTAACGTGCTCTACAGAGAGCAAAGGGCCCTGGACTTCCCACCCGTCACTGTCTAGGAAAGTGTCACACATTTTGCAACAGCCACAAACGGCCATGAGGCACAGGCAGGATTGCAATGCCACTATGCTGCCAAACTCTAGACAAGACGTCACCCCATCTCAAACACAGAGACAGTGACTTCATGCTTTCTAACTCTAACTAGATTTGTATGGATACTCCTTACCCTCCCCACCCCATAGGCACAACAGTCCTATCCACACCCCTCTCACTGCGCCCTGGAGCTCTGGCCAGATGATGCCACATAAAACCCAGAGGTCAGAAACACTAGGACCACCAGAACCCCGAAGGACACTGAGAGAGGACCTCATGAAGTCCAGTGGTGGGAGGTGTGGCAGCCAGCAGCCTTCCCATGAGCAGATGGGCTGCTACTTGCTATTCCCTATCTGGTGCATCCAGGAGTGAGCCAACATTGTCCTCCCTGACCTCACAGCCACCTGTGTGGTGGCCCATCACTGTGCAGCAAGAGCCCGGCACCTAAGGTCATGGGGTGAGTAGGCCCGAGGACTCAGGGGTCCCACTGCCCAGCCCCAGGAGACAGATATGCTTCCCCCTCAGTTGGGGGCAGCTTCTGCTGTACCGGGCTCCGGCTCTTCTCGGCGATGACGCTGGCCAAGAGCTGGGACTGAGGCCCTGCAGACTTTATGTCTTGTCGGTTTTGTTCTCGAATCTGTGTGGAAAGGGGAGAAGAAGGCGTCAAAGCATGGAGGGGTGCTCTGGTGTCTAGTGAGGCCTGGGGCGGGTCTGACAAGGTCTTCTATGGTCAGTAGTCTGTCCTCTCTGCTCTAACACAATCTGCCTGTGCTGGGAGTTGTCACCATACCTGACCCTGAGCCACTCTGAGTTCATAAAAGGCCACTCTGTGGACATGTCTTTCAGACACACCGACTGTGAAAGCAAGTGTCCCGCTACGTAAAGTGGTTACAGAGGATCTCAGGACCTGAGGCACTGAGTCCAGGATACAGTCGGTACAGTGTCATATCAGGGGTACTGGTGAGTTCCCCCAACCCAGTTTCCCCGGCTTGTGCTTCTGGGACCCCAGATTCCTTCCTCACCTTGTTCCTCATGTCCAGTACTTCCTGGGGGTCAGTGTAGAGAGGCACAAACTGGTTTGGGTTTTCGATCCGTATGGGCATGCCACTGCTGGACTTTTCCACTTCGTCAGCTTTCATCCACTGTCAAGACAGGGCAGGTGAGTAAGGAGGCGGTCACAGGCAGCGGGGGCCCCACCCACCATGGAAGGTCGGCAAGCCACTCAGAGTTGTTCTCCCTTTGGGTCAGAGCCGAGATGATTGATAGATGACCCAGATGTCAAGGAAGGCTAGTGGGCCATAAAGAACATCAGAGAATAGTGGCTGAACCATGGGCAGGCCACCACTGGGCTTCAGTTCCAGGTAACTGGGTTCACATCTGACTGGCTGTGGCCACTTTCTTGTTAGTGAAAAATCAAACACAGTAGGATTGGAGGGATGGCCTAAAACGCCTGTCATTCAAGCGCAAGGACCTGCATTTGTATCTGCAGGAACCTGGACGGGTGTGGTGGTCCACCCGTAACTCCAGCCATGAAAGGCAGAGACAGGATTCCCAGAGCAAATAAGTTTAACCATAGCATCAAGCTCTAGGCTTAACCTTAAAGAATAAGATAGAGGAGCTATTGAAGATGATTCCAGACATCAACCTTGAGACACATACGTGCGCACCCATGTACATGCCAAAAAAGCACACTTACCTGTGAAAAACAGGAAGGAAAAAATCAAACAGAGGCTATGTGAGTGATGAAAAAGGAGAGGTAAGGCCAGCCGTGCTCAGCCTCTCCTCCCCCGGGTTTGTGTCAGACCCTGGGTCCAGGGTCTGACACCTCTCCCAGGAGTTTCCCAAAGCCCCCCCCCATGGTTGTGGGGTGAAACACAGAACCCAGTCTCTCTTGAATCTGCAGATGGAAGTAACCCTGTCTTGCTGCCCTCTGGAGAAACCTGCTCCTCACACCCCAAACCTCAGTGCAGGGGGGCAAGAAAGAGGTGTTAGGGGCTCTGGTGCCTGAGCACAGCCCACAGGAGCCTGGAAGAAAAGTGCACAACTTGCTTCCCTTCAAATACAACTCATCCCACCCGGCTAGCCTGACCCCGCCTCTCACCGTGGTCTTGGGCCTGGGACTGCCCATGTTCCTCTGCACCTCGTCGGCCACGTTCACCCGCAGATAGGTGTTGGGCGTGTTAAGCCAGCGTGTCTTCTCTTTCTGCTGTTTCTGCGCATGCTGACGTAGGGCGGGGACTGGGGCACCATCCTCCTCGAACACAAAGGCAGTGACTGTGGCTGGGATCTCCACTTCGCTTTTGTGTTTGGTTTTCTCTTGGACAAAGGGGTGGCGGTATGTGTAGCCTGTTCTGTAGCCCTGAGAGGACAGAACCAGACCAGGTTCACATCTGGACTCAGTTCAACCCCAAATATCCACCAGACAACTTAGAAGCCAGGCTAAGGTTGCAGGGCTTTAAAACTGCGAAGGGCCTGTTATCCCAGCCACTCAAGAACCTGAGGCAGGAGCATGACAAGTTCAAGGCCTGCCTGGACTACAGAGCAAGCTAGCAAGCTCAAGGCCAGATAGGTAACTTAGTGATCATCAGCTTCAAAATAAAACATAAATAAAAGGGCTGGGGTATAATTCCATGGTAGAATACTTACTTGGCATATGTGAAACCCTGCGTTTAATCTCCAGTGTATACACATACACACACACACACACCACACACACACACAGACTCTTGATTAATGCTCATGATTTTGATGAATTTGTAAGTAGCTTTACTTCCTACTACTATAACAATAATTATTAATAATAAATGTATAATTTTGCAATGCTGTGTCCTAACATATCACACCATACCAGACAATCACTCTATACCAAGCTATGTAGCATTAAGATAAAAATAACTTAGACTTAAAATTATATGTATATGTGTGTACTTGTGTGTATTTGTGTGTGTCCTTGTGCATATTTGGTGTGTGTGTCCTTGTGTATATTTGTGTGTGTGTGTGTCTGTGTGTGTGTGTGTGTGTGTGTGTGGTCATAACTGGAAAAGGGATCGTGAGTGAGGAGGAGGCCTTAAGGGAGTGAGGTACAGAGAGTAGTGTGTATATGTCACAGGAAAGCAGAAGTGGGACCGAGGGAAGGAAGAGGAACAACTAGAGGGACAATGGGTGGGGACGGTAGTGAGAGGGAGAAACGAGAGCAATGTATGCATTCATATGTATGAAGACGCCATGAGCAAATGCATTACTTTGTATGCTAACATAAACATTAACTTTAAAATACTGTCAAAACAGTTATGATAGTAAATAACAAGCTGCTTGAAGCTCTTCATTCATTCCCAGAACCTCTCATCAACATTCATAGTGAAATCTATCTGATTTTTGTTAGAACCTTCCTTTCTCTCCTCTCTGAAACTTTAAATGGAATCTTCTCCTTCTCAAAGCTTTGCAAGGGTTCCTGTAGGAAGTCAGCCACACGGTCCTGGTGCTTCGTTTAGGGGCAATGATTCAGCACACAGATATTTCCAGGAGTTCCCATCTCACCACGAAAGGTATTCTTCGTCATTATAAAGCCCCCCCCCCCCGCCCCGTGGTCAGCCTAGCAACTGGGTGAACTTGGAGGGAAAGTATTAATGATTGCAATGACCTTGACATGATAAAGTCACATGGCCTTGAGGGTGAGGAAGGCGAGCCAACAGGAATGTTCTGAAGATAGGTTTCACTTCTCACCCCTCTGAACAGTCCCAGCTCCCCACTGTACCCCTCCCTCTTGTGCCTGAAGTGTCTCCTCTGATTTTCCATACCATCAACCCATTCATCAGCTCCTAGAAGGGGCATGCTGTCAGCTTGTACCCTTCAATGAACCATCCCATTTAATTCCTTATGGAACTGGTTCATTTATTCACTGCAACAAAATTAAGTAGTTACTTCTTGGGCTAAGGAAGCTGGCTGCATGGTGGGCTTTGGGTATTAAAGCTCTAGCATGAGGGGTGGAGCAGGATCAACTCCAGAGGAGGCATGGGCTAATGGCTCTGAGGATGATCGTGGTGGGTTGTGGCTATGAGGAGAGGCACTCTGACTTGGCTGAACTGCTACTTTCCATGGAGAACACAGACAGACATGGGATGTCTCCAGCACTTAACAGAGGGAGGGAAGGCGAGCAATGGAGAAAATTCTTGTTCAAGTGAACACAGACTCAGAGGCCTTCACCAAGTGAACCATGACAGAGACAGTTCTTGTATGTCCCTAGCTGTCTGGTTCTATGGGCTCAGCCTCCAAAGAGTGGTCTGAAGGACAGCACCAGGACACTCACCAAGTTGTCCAGCATCCTCATGAGAGCTTCAAATTCATGCTCTCCAAGCCGGCTCTTCTGCATGGGCCCGAAGGTACTGCCTGCCCACTGCACAGAGCCCAACTCGTGTGGCCGGTGTTTCTCTTGCTCCAGGAGGATAAGGTTCTCAGTTCCTCCAGCACTGGACAGAGCTGACACCTGCAGAGAGATCAGAGCACTTAGTTACAGGTGTATGAAGCCCTTAAAACTGCTGTGGTACACACCAGGCACAGTGGGGCCACAGGAGAATTCAGGATCCAGAAAGTCCCAGGGAACCTGAAGAAAGTATATGAACACTTGCTGGGTATGTGCTCCTTGCCACGGAGTGAAGTATTAGTAATTCCTCCTTGGGCTCAGTTCTTAGAGAACCCAGAGGGGAAGAAGTAACGAGTGTTAAACTTCAGGAATGAAACAACAGAGGACTGAAATGGCATCTGGGACATAGCACACTTAGGTACCAAAAATGGTACCTTGGATATAGTACCCCAGAGAACTAAACAGTACCTGAGAGGTAATGCCTCAGAGAAGAAGAAACATACCCAGGATGCACTGCAGAATTGTAATTATCTCTGGGGAAGATGATGCTGGAAAGGGCTCCAAGGGGGACTATTCATTGTTTTATAGACAAGGTCTCATGTAGCCCAGGCTGGCCTTGAACTTTCTATGTAGCCTAGGCTGGCCCTGAACACCTGCTTTTCCTGCCTCTACCTACCAAGACCTGGGATTAAAGATGTCTGCTATCATGTCACTCTGGATCTTCAATCATTGTCTGTAATATTTTATCTCTTCAATAGGAAAGTATCTGAAGCAAATGGCCATAAGTACTTGTTAAACCTGAATGGCAGTGTCATTATCTTATTCCCTTTATTTTTCCGCGTGTGTGTGTGTGTGTGTGTGTGTGTGTGTGTGTGTGTTGGTTAGTTTCAAGTCCATGTGATATAACCCAGAGTCATTTTGGAAGAGGGTACCTCAGTTTTGGAAATGCCTTAATTAGGTTGGGCTATAGGCAAGTCTGTGGTGCATTTTCTTGATTAATGATTGATTTGGGAGGCCCAGCCCATTGTGGGCAGTGGTAACCCTAGGCCTAGGCTGGTGGCCCTGAATGCTATAAAAAAAATCAGGCTTAGTAAGCTATGGGGAACAAAGCATCACTCTTCCATGGCTTCTGCTTCAGCTCCTGTCTCCAGGTTCCCGCCTTGAGTTCCTGCCTGATGTCTCTTGATGATGGTGTGTGACCTGAGAGTTATAAGGTAATATAAGGTAAGAGGAAATAAACTTTTCCTCCCCAAGTCGCTTTGGTCACAGCGTTCTCTCTCTCTCTCTCTCTCTCTCTCTCTCTCTCTCTCTCTCTCTCTCTCTCTCTCTCTCTTTCTCCTGAAATTAATAAGGGGACTGTTAGGCCAATGACCTTTAAGTGTGACCTCCTACTTCAGTGCCTGTAGATCTACAGAATGTCCCAGGCATAGGAAGAAGCCAGAAGAATTATCTACAGTCGTGTTATCCAACATGTATGCCCATATGCCCATGCTGGGGTGATCAGTCACGGGGTGTGGTGCATAGCCAGGTGTGTTGCAGCATCAGACGGCTTCTCCTCAGGTTGAAGAGCTTGCCCCACTGGGGAGGGGACAGTGCAAGTGGGTCCAGGCAACTTACTTAACTACTAGGGTAGAGGTATGGGTACAGAGCAGGCAATTTAGAATGATCTTAAAAGCATCCATGCATTTAACCAGCCTCCATCTTTCCCTATCCCATGCTTATCTAGCAGTACAGTCTACTGCAGCCTGTATCCCTGCCACTCGGATGTTCTCAGTCAGGTTTGACTTTCGGCGAGGAAGAGGAACATCTAAGCCGTGCCACTACAGCAGTGTGCTAACACACTCACATCTGAGAAGACTGTCCCCACACAAGCTCACTTACTGTAACTGCCACTCTGATGACCTAACCTGCAGTGTCTGGTGTTTCCGGATGGGTTGGGAGTCTGGGTTGTGGTTTTGGTGATGTTTGTTTTGACAAACGCAGACACATGAGCTCCAAGCATCTAGACAGCACCCGGAGTATCTAGCATTCTCCTGCACCGACGGATGACCCCACACTACTTCTCAGAAGTGAGTTCATCAGATTCCCTCGGGTGAGTCCTGTCACCCTGGGAGAGGAGGGAGGGCACCACAACACGTCCCAGTGCCTTTTTATTCGAGATCTACGTCTGTGCTATGTCTTTGACTGTCCCCACTGTGCCCTGCCACCTTGGAGAGGCAGCGTGAGGGTGTGCTCGCAGGGGAGTGGGTACCACACTGACTGGGTGTGTTACATCACTTTCTCACCGTGTGACTCTGGGCAGCTATTAACCACGTTTGTGCTTTAGCTTCCACCTCTGCCAACTGAAAGCGGCAATTAGCTACCTCACGAGGAATCTTTTGAGGTAATCTGGTAAAGTATTTAGAATGTTCTGCAGCCTCAGGAGCGCCACACGGATGCTGTTGCTAAGTGAACGGAGGATGAGAGGCGGCCTCCCCTGGGACTGGCTGTTAATGGAGGAGGAAGGAGGGAGAGAGCACCCACAACCTTGCCCAAGCTGCCTCCTTCCACCTCTTCCTCCAGCAGTTTCCATGGCGATGGGGAGCAGATGGAGAAGAACTGCCTGTGCTTCCCATCTGCCTCTCAGTGAGAGATGACCCACTTTTCCAGAACTCCAAACCAAAGAGAACACTGGGCCCAGGAGAGCTAAGCAGGCGCTTGGGCTGCAGACACGTCCACAGCCACGGTCTCATCTCCACCAAGGTCACCGAGAGTGGCAGCAGGACCTGTGGTGGACACAGAGCTCCAGAGCTGTCTGCCTGAGTGCAGTCCCGACAGCCCTGGGCTGTGGCTTCTGCACTCACTTGTGCCTGTCCTTTGCTTTTGCTCTTCTGCATCCAGACCTTCCCTCCCTCCAGAAGCCTCTCCATCCTTGAAACTGACAAAGAGACACTGGCACTTTGCTGGGCTGGTTGCCAGAGGGATGTGGGCAGACAAAGGCCCATCAAGCCAGTCCTGCACAGAAAGTGACAGCAGCCAGGAGGTTATTAGGGACCAGTACTAACAGCTCTGCTCTATGTCTGTCTGCAGGTCAGAAGGTTAAACTGCCCAGGAGCCACTTTTCTGGCTCTGAACTTGGGAGAGGTCTCTTCTCTGTGGAACGGTAGAGTACACAGCACAACTCTATCTATACAAAGGGCTGGGTTGTCTTTACAGAGAAGAGCTTTTCCTGAGGGTCTGCAAAGGTGCTGTAGGGAGCCCTTTACAGTTCAGTGTGAGGAAAGATTGTCTTCCCTTGATGCAGAGGTGTAGCCCGTTCTGACGCCAGGCAGCAGCCCAAGCACAGGGCAGCTTTCTTAGCTGAGGGAGAAGGCACCACATTAGAGACATGACCTGGATCCAGAGTCCCATAGTCTCTACTTGTGATCACTGCTGTTTCTTGGGATCATCACTCCACTCCCTGGAACATTTATTCATAAATCTCACTGCTAGGGTGCTACAGGGCTCCTCCAACCCCCATACTGCTGCACTGATCTCACCTTTCCCCAAGTGACACTGAGAAAGGTGACAACCTTCCTTTGGTGCTGCTCTGCCAAGCCAGCCAGAATAAGGCAGAAGGGTACCACGTGGGACTTGCAGAGAACTGACTTGTCCTGGAACTGCAGCCTCCGCATCAGTCAGCTAAGCCCTAACAGCAGGGTCACCATCTCTTCTAGCCTGGAGAGGTCATTTCTCCCAGCAAACGTTGACCCATGCCAACGTGAAGAAAGCAGGCTTGCAGAGGGCTCATCTCTGCCCCAAGGATAAACAGCCAGGGCTGGAGATGATGGAGCTGAGAGAGCCAGGTCACGAGTCTATCCAGGCTGTGTAAGCCCTGCCCCTATGCCCACCAACCTGTCCACCAAGGAGTGCATGCTCTTGGCTGACCTGTACCATAGAGTTGCCTGTACCAGCGTCTTCTGCTCTAGGGGCTCTGTGGTCACTGACACCTCCGCCTAGCTGTCCCTTCCTAGTGAGGAGACCTGGAGATGAGCTGGTTCCCTGCGTATCTTTGGGCTGTTCTGGTTTCTGCGACAACACTGATTGGTCTCTGTCCACTTTTCTTCTATGCCTGACCACATTTCTGGCCCACCCCCATTCCATCCCACTCCCTGGCAAAACAAGAACAACTTTTTTCCGTGTCCCCAGCACAAGCTGGTGTAACAGCCACACTAGGTGACACAGGTGTGGCAGGGCTTTTGTGTGCCTTGTGATGGTTTTCCCATGCTGGCCTCAGCTCTCCTAGATATGAGTAGTACAAGTCAGATGTTGTGATGGATTTTTCCAGAATGTACATCCCATTGTACGAAGGAAACTGCAGGAGCGTGAGGAAACTGGTGACAGGCAGAGTGACAAAGCAGAGTTTCAGGAAGTTAGGCTCTCAGGACCCCAGCTGGCAGCTAGAGGGCTCACAGTTCTCAGGGACCCCATCAAAGTCAGCTCCTGAGCTTGCTTCCCAGAGTACCGTGCGTACCTGTACCTCACACGCAGCCTGCAGGTGGAAGACCTTATAGAAAGCCTCCTCCACGGTGTCACCCAGAGCAACCATGCCATGGTTTCTCAGCACCAGGATCTGTGAAGGAGGAAAGAGTCTGTTAAGCCAAAGCCTTTGAACACTCCCCTTCCCTGCCCCCAGGCAGCAAGATGACTCAGTGGGGAAAAGGCACCCTTATCAAGTCTGAAAACCTTCCTTCAATCCCTGGGATCCATCTGTCGAAAGGAGAGAATAGACTCTTGCAGATCATCCTCTGGATTCTGTGGGAGCCGTGGCGGGCGGCGTGAACCAACCCCCTTCCCCAATGCCCCATGCACACAGACTAAATGAGTAAATAAAATGTATAATAAAATCAACCTTAAAAATAAAAAAGCTTCACTCCTAAGAGACTTTCAGCTCAGACTTTGCTCGACATCTACGATTTACTTCAAATCAGTTTTTCAAATGAGGAAAGAGAAGTTCGGGGAAGGGGAAGGTCTGCTGGCTAACTGGAGGCAGGATCTGGACAAGAACCCGGGGTTCTCACCGGTGGAACAGTTTCTGCTTTGGCAGGGACCGTGAGTAAAGGGAGTGAAGGGATCAGAAATATGTTAGGATAAAGATCAAGACTCCCCCAGGGTCAAGTTCTCCTTGCTTCCCTGAAGGAAGTACTCATGGTTGGTTTTATCCATGACAACCTTGAACCCAGGCATTTTGGGAGTGGTGGCAAAGATCTGCATTCAGTCTGTCTCTGCCAAGGGCTGAGCCTCAGGGCTCAGAGCATCCCAGCCTCTTGCTAAGAGTAGCTGGAGTTCTTAGAAGAGTGTGGAGACTTAGAAGGAGCTCAGGGCTCAAGCTCATAAACAGACACACCAGGAACATCCTCTCTTAGATTACTACAGCCCACACACTGCTGAGGACACCCTGGGGCTGCTGGGGGAGAGCAGCAGGACTCCTCCCCCAAGGTAGAGATGGAGAGGTAGGAACTTAGAAGGAGTGATGCTGCTGCCAGCTCAGGAGGTCTCAAAGCTCTTTACGGGTTTGAAATGGTAACCCGACTCTGCACTGGTAGAAGACAGTGCTTTAGACTTCAGCCAGGCAACAATGCCCTTCTGCTCTCTTCTATCCAGTTGGTAATTAATAGATGGAACTAACTGACGAATTAATAGAGTGCCCAGCTTTGGGGAGCTGTAGAGAAATAGCCCATCTACTAGACATGAGGAAGGGGGCAGAAGGGACAGCCTTTGTGGGAAGCAATGGGGCAATATGAAGTCCGACTTACAAGGTGTGTCCCCTAGAAATGTCTAAGAGAGCCTCTTCAAGCCCAGAGGATTAGCTGGAAGGGTTTCCTCCTGGGGTTTCTACTAAGAGGAACCTGGGACGTAGGGTGGAAAGCATCCTCTGAAGGTTCAGCTACAGAGAACTGCTCGGGTGAATTACAGCCATTCACACAATGAGGTATGATTTAATAAGCTGAGTGAAGGAGGAAACAGTGCCGTAAAAGAGCTTTTAGGGTAGGTTGCTAAGGAGAAGGAGAACTGATTTCCTGGTTGCAGGTTTGTAAATATGTGTGAACAACAGTCTTAGAGAATGCACCAACATCTCAGTGCAATGTGGGCTTTAAAAAAAATAATCTGTAAAACTTGGAGGCTGGAGAGATGGCTCAGTGGTTAAGAGTGCTTCCTGCTCTTGCAGAGGACACACGTTCGGTTCAGAGCACCCACATCAGGCTACTTTCCATCACCTGCAACTCCAGGTCCAGGGGATCTGATGCCCCCTTCTGGCCACCATATGCACTGCACACACACATACACACACACACAAATGAATGAAATGATAGACTCTAGATATCCCCTATGTGGAAGGAATTGGCAATAGGGTGGGAGGATGGGGGGGGAAGGTGGAGGGGTGCGGGAGGAGGGGAGGGAGAGGGAACTGGGATTGACATGTAAAACAAGCTATTTAAAATTTAAAAAATTAAAAAAATCTTAGAAATTAACAACAAAACAAATATTTCCAATGAGTACATGTTGCTTTTGTGATGTCAATGCTCTCTCCATCTCTGTTCTGTCTCTGTCCACCGCCTCCCCGTCATGTGTGTGTGTGTGTGTGTGTGTGTGTGTGTGTGTGTGTGTGTGCATGTGCGCGCACGTGCGTGCATCTTCCCCAATTCTTCTCCACCTGATATTTCTGAGACACGGTGTTGCGTTAAATACAAAGCTCACCGATTCAAACTGACTGGCCACACAAGGCCCAGGGGTCCACCTTCCAGCTTTTATGTAGGCATTGGGGATGGGATTCAGGTCCTTGTACAGCAAGCGCTTTGCTGTTTGAGTCGTCCCCCCAGTCTTGTGACGTCAGCTTTTGACAGTACCAATCCACAGCCCCCTCCCAGAGACAAACCTTGCAGGTGGGTCCAAGGCACTTCTGCAAGTTGATTCGATCCGCTTCCTGCTCCATTTCCCCATTGAAGTCATAGTAGGCCATGTCCCCCACCAGCAGGGCATTATGGGAGACAGGCAGGAGGCCACACTTCATAGCTGATACCTACAGGGAAGCAATAGTTGCCTGGCACCTGCAGCCCAGGTCCCAGAGTGCGCCTGCCCTCTCTTCTCAGGCACAGCAGTCCAGCCCTGCTCTGGAGCCAGGGAGTGTGGGATGTCACAGGAGGAAGCCATGCACTCTACCAGGCCCACATTCGCGGGGAGGGCTCTAAGGGCCCCATCACACTTGCACATCACGCCAGCAGCTCTGAGGACTGCTGGGCAAGCATGCCCAAGGAGGCCCCTGCTGCCCATTCCAAGCTCTGTCCTTGTCTGTGACTCTGGGAGGAGGCAGAGGGGCAGAAATGTTTTTCCCCATAGAGTGGACCTGGGGTAGCATGAGTGCAAGGATCCTGGGCTAAAACCTGGGTTGGTTCCTGTGCTGGCTAGTTTATGTCAACTCTTAACACAAGCCGGAGCCATTTTAGAAGTGGGAACACCAATTGAGAAAATTCTCCTACCAGACTGGCTTTGGGACAAGCCTGTGGGCCATTTCTTGATTGGTGATTGATGTAGGAGGACCCAGCTCACTGTGGGTGGTGCCGCCTCTGGGTAGGTGGCCCTGGGTGCCATAGAAGGCAGGCTGGGCAAGCCATGTGAGCAATCTAGTAAGTGGAGCTCCTCCACAGCCCCTGTGCCAGTTCCTGCCTCTAGGTTCCTGCCTTGGGCTCCTGTCTGACTTCCCTGCATGATAGATTACAAATCTGTTCCTCCCTGTTGATTCTGGTCATGGTGTGTTATCTAAATACCAGAAAAGCAAATCAATAGTCTCCTACCCCATCTCCTATTGAAAGCAAGTAACATGTGAGGTGCAGAGGAGCCTAATATCTTGCCCCACTACCACAAATCAGCCCCAGACTGCAGAGAGCCTCAGCACACATACATCATTGAGTCTTGGTCCTGATTCTGGGAGGTCTATGCCCTGTGCTTCCCTTAGAAATCAACAGGCTGGTGCCATGTGCTCTGTCATACAGGTATGTGGTCTGGTGTCAGCGGGAGAGGCTCAGGGCCAGGGCACTGCCCAGTGCCTGCCTTTTCTCCCAGAGACACTGCAGTGTCTTCCATACACGAGGAGAGATGGCCTCAGTACTACCTGTGATTGGATCGCTCCCTCTTCTCTCCCCAGGGTTACTGGACCCTCCCCCAGACTCGGCTGCCTTGAACTGGGCCTGCAGGCCCAGTTTCCACCAGCTTGTTGTTCTGTGCCAAGGCCTTCCCTCTGAAGGTCTGAGTCACGTGGGGAAAGGGCAGCACGAAGCCGGACAACATTGACTTGAGTAGACACGCAAGAGGTGCAGTCGCCTGGCTGAGTTCCCAGCTGCGGCTACAGCAGGATGGGAGAGTCCGTGAAATGCACTTCCTCACCTTCTCCATTTACCAAGACCCTGGTAATCGAAAGGAAGGCTGGAAAAAAGAGTCCTACACTGAGGGTTCGTTCTCTTGGCCTGAGTTCCAGACTTTTCCAGGGTCTTTATTTTTTTTATCATTTTATTGTTTATTTTATGTGTATAGGCGTTTTGCTTTCATGTCTGTCTGTGCCTCACGTGCTTGTGGTGCCTTCAAGGCCAGAACGGAGGGTGTTGAATTCCCTGGGTCTAGGGTTACAGATGGTTGTTAGCGGCCATGCGGGTGCTGAGAATGGAACCAAGGTCCCCGGGAAGAACAGCCAGTGCTCTTGACCGCTGAGCCATCTCTCTGCCCCCTTTGCAGAAATTTTTAAACGATGACATTGCTATACCCAAGATGATATCTCCTGGGGCGGGGCGTTGGCTGTCACAGAGAGTCTGGCATTAGGTGGAGCTGGGGTGGGGGGCTGGGAGGCCTTACTCACCGCGGCTGTGGCAGGGGTGTGCAGGTGGATGGCGCACCGTACATCGGGCCTGGCGGCATAGATGGCTGAGTGCAGACTGAAGCCCGTGGTGTCCACTGGGAAGCAACTGCTGCCCTTCTCCACCACCTCTCCCAGAATGTTCACCTTGATCTAAAGAAGAGAAGAGACTCAGAGCGGCAGGCAGCAGCGCCCCTGTCCTCATCCACACGCGGCCCCTGTGTCACCTGCCCATGTCCACCTCTCCAGATGGCAGGAGGTGCTGGCCTTGGTGTTGGGGGACAGCAGCACGGAGTCCTGCCTGCAGTGAGTCTTAAGGGGTGACAGGTGGCAGAGATTCTGCAGGGAAAGGGGTGAGGCAGTTTCTCAGACTTCATCATGCATGCTTCAGGAGCTGCCAAACAGACTCCAAACAACACTCACTTAGCATTTTCCTAATGATGTCTAGGCTGTGACCCCAAACTCCACTCTGAGTAACAAGCTAGAAGGAAGTCAGTGATAGACTCCTCCAGAAAAGGGAAGCATTTTAAGGGACCAATGGGAGGAAGTCACTTTCTTAGCCTGCTCTCTACTCCAAGAGACTAGCAGTTGGCTTGACTAACCCCCCCCCCACACACATACACACACATACACACTGAATAATGCTTATGGCTGACCACGGTGTTCCTACTTAACAAATGGATTCACAAAGCACCGACATCAGGAAGGGCTTTTTGTGACTGATAAACAAGGTTGTTTCATTCTTGAAGTGCCCCCCACACACACACACTGCAAGGCCCATCTCTCAAAGACCCAAATCACCTAAAACAAACCCAAATTCTGAGGCCAGGTCCTCCTAACACAGTGGTTCTCAGCCTTCCTAATGCTGTGACCCTTTAATACAGTCCCTCATGTTGTGATGACCCCCAACCATAAAATTATTTTGTTGCTACTTTATAACTGTAATTTTGCTACTGTTATGAATTATAATGTAAATATATGATATGCAGGATACCTGCTATGTGACCCCCAAAGGGGCCATGACCCACAGATTGAAAAATGCTGTCCTAACACTTTAGTGGGCATACAGTCTGTCCCTAAGCTCACATGACTACAATTACACCTTTCACACTAACACGCTAGATTTTAGTTTCTTTAAAAAAAATCACCAGGCAGTGGTGGCACATACCTTCAATCCCAGTACTCAGGAGGCAGAGGCAGGTGGATCTCTGTGAATTCAAAGCCAGCCTGGTCTAACGGAGCTATTTTCAGGACAGCAAGGGCTATTAGGTAGAGACCCTTGTCTTGGAACACTCCCCTCCCCCAAACCACTGTAACTTTGGCCCTTAAGACAGAAGCACCAATGACATCCCAAGTCTAACATGCGGGCAGTTCCACAAATGACCCCTCACCCTATCCCCCAAAACTCACAGATGTAGTGATATTTGTTTGTGTTTTAATAGATAAAGCTTGCTTGAAGATCCGAGTACAGAGCTAAGCCACTAGCCAGGCTGTGGTGGCACACACCTTTAATCCCAGCACTCTAGAGACAGAGGCAGAGGGATCTCTGTGAGTTCAAGGCTACCCTGGGTTACACAAGATTGAATCTGTCTAAAAGAGAAACAGAGCTCACACGTTTGATCCCAGGACTTGGGATGACATGCCTTTAATCCTAGCACTAGGGAGGTGGAGACAGGAGTGATATGGCTGGGCAGAGAGAGGAGTATTAGGAAGGTGGAGACAGGAACTTGGAGCATTCAGTCTGAGGATTCCCAGGGACAGGATTGCCCCTTTGGTATGAGCCTTGGTGGAGGTAAGAGGTCTCTCTTGTGGCTGGCTCCTTTACTTCACTGACCACTCAGCATTATCTGACTTTGGGTTTTTATTATTCATGCTACACACAGACAAAAGGGGGTGGTCAAAGGACAGTGACATCTTGGTGTGGAAACAGCACACTATTGGTACCATGTGCTTAGCTGCACAGGAGCAGCATCCAACAGACCCCTGCTGCAAACCTCTCCATGGAGTGAGTTTTACTAAATGAACCTGGCTTTGGAGTGGCCTTACACTGGCTGGGAGTGTCATCAGCTCCAGCTCATGAATGGGCTCAGTACAATTCTCCAGTTCCTCCAAGTGGCCCAGCCAGACTCCCCTCTCTGGGAAGGCCCCTCTCTGGCTCATGTGGACCCTATCTCATTGTTAGACCCTTGACTTGTGCCACTCAGGAACCTCCACAACCTAATAGGATAGTCAGCAATCCAGCTGGTGCCTCCATCTAGATGAGAAAGCAGGAACTCTGAGGGCTGCCTCAGAGGCACAGGCTGGCTTTGGACTCAGCTGCTGTGCAAATTTACAGGAGAAGCCGACTGTGGGGAGCGAAGTTCAGGGGATTTCACCTCCTCCTTTCTTCCTCATCAAGCACATCCCTTTGAAGGACGTGAGCTGTACATCCACACAGTCAACCATGGACTGTCTACACCCCAGACCTCCTGCTGGTGACCCCAGAAGCCTGCCCACACCCCAAATCACCTTCTGTTTGTGATCCCCTCAGGTCTACATCTTGGGGCCAGACCCCTTCTCAACCTACTGCAGCCAAATCCCAACTGCCTCTGCCTCAGGTCACTGTAGTCATCCCCCCCTTCCAGCTCCTCATCCTGTGTCCCAGCTGCCAGCCCTCTATGCATGAAAGCCCAGAATTTCTTTCACAGATCACAGAAAGAACACTGAGCATTTGTCCTGATGTCTACTGGTCTCCACACCTCTGTCAGGACAATCTGTGAACAAAGGAAACCTCCAGATTCCAAATGCCGAGCTAGACTTGCAACTCTCTTGCTCTCCAGCTCCAATGTGTTCCCGTCCAAGGAAGCTTTCCTTACTACGCGTGGTCTAAACTCAACCCAGGAATCTTCCCAGGACTCCAAGTCACCTCCCATTCCCTCCTCCTTCCCACTGTGGTTGCTGCCTGCACTCTGGTTACATGCCTGAGGTACCCACCGTGTCTATGCATCTTCTCTGACCAGGGAGCACGTGAGTCCCACAAGGAACTGGGCAGTAGGCTCTGATTTGGAAGTGAACCTGTCTCTCCAGGGTCACATGGATACTGTCACCTTAGTAAGGGTCAGTACTGAGATGCTGGCCAGTACTTACCAGGCTAGATGCTGTGACCTCACTGCAGGAGACTCCCTTGGGGCTGATCAGGAAGTGGTCCTGCTCCTTGCTCACTCTCATCTGGGGGAAGACAGATAAGAAACTCAGGGCCAAGCAGAGAGAAAGAAGAGATACTTCTAGGGACACTGTTTAAATCCCTATCTCCCTGCACTCACTGTGCCAAGGCTTTTTCCAGTGAACCCTCCTCCACTGAGAGATGAAGAGGTTCAATGTTTGTTTAAACTGTGGAAATGGAGCTCACAAAAATTAGGGACAGCCTGGATACAGGGGCTGATTCCCATCCAAAGAGATGCCCACTGGGAAGTTGTTTATTCTGTTGATCATAATGGTTAGCAATCTTGGAAGAGGTGAGTAGATTTTATCCAAGATGCCCTAACAGTACTTGGTCATGTTGGGGGTCAGGGGTCTTCCTTTCAGGTTTTGTGGGGAAAGGGGGCTGGGGGCTGGGCAGAGGGTGCCTGCTCCTCACCGTGACATAGGTGTCGCTGAGCTGCGCCCAGCCATAGAGGTCCAGGAGACGGTAGACACTGCTGATCTTACACCGCATGAGCCTCTCCCCCTTGGCCAGGTTCAGGGAGTCAGCAGTGTGGAGGTCATTGATGGGTGTCATCATGGAGAAGTCTGCAGGGATGGGAGGTGACAGCACATCTCCCTGAGGACAGGAGTCCCTACCAGCCAACATGGCACTTGTCCTTTGCCCTTCTAGATCTCACTGACTGATGCTACACTCCCTGCCCGAGGACCACACAGTCCTAGACTCACACCTAGAGGAGGAAGGTTGTAGAGTGGCCATTTGTGGCTTATGAAGCCCTCTGCTCAGCTGAGTGAAACTGGTGTTACATTTGGAGGAAAGCCATGCCAAGAGCTGAGGACACAACTCAGGCAGTACAGTACTTGCCTGTCATGTACCCATCTCTAGGACTGATCCCTAGCACTACATAAAATATGGTGATACATATCTGTAATCTTGGCATTCGCTTGGGAGGTAGAGGCAGGATGACCAAGAAGTTCAAGATTATCCTGGGCTACAGAGCAAGTTTAAGATCAGCCTGGGCAACCTGAGACTCTGTCTCAAGGAAAGAAACAAACAAAAACAACAACAACAACAACAACAAAACAAAACAAATAAAAAACCCAAAGCCATATCAAGGCACAAAGCCATGAATAAAGTGTTCCTGGAATTTCAAGGCTGCCATAAATCCTAAATAGGGGCATTGGGTAAGTGCAGGACAAAGTTTCTGAGTAGGAATGTGCACAGTTGTGGCATTAGCTTTAGGGGAGAAGGTGCTGTTCAGAAGGCTGTAACTGTGTTTTAAGTGACCCTGCAATAGAACTTATTCTGTGGCTTGGAAACAGGGCACATAGAAAGCCAATCAGCCAGGAAGAAATTTCCCCAACTTTACCGCCAGTCATATTTGACAGCCACAGACCCAGCCCTGGCTGTAGAGAGCGGCATCTGTTTCTGTTAGGACAGGTCATACACAGCATGTGGTCTTATGTTGCTTTTTTCTAGGAATTTGAGGGAAAGGCTGAGAGACTTGGAAATGGGCCCAGGGGAGTTAGAAATCTAGTTCCCAGAGCACCTCAGATGTAGGAGCTGATGGCCAGTCTGTCACCTTAACCCTGACAGTCACTGTCCGTGAGCTTCAGGGGAGCAGAGAAGGCAAACAAGTTAAGGAGCTGGAGAGATCAGCTGCTGAAATCACATTGCTCTTGCAGGGACTAGAGCTCAGTTCCCAGCATCTAGGTCAGGTGTACACACACACACACACACACACACACACACACGCACGCACGCACGCACGCACGCACGCACACACACACACAAATGAATACATACACATTGTGATCACACACACACATGTGCGTGTGAATACACATCACATTTTCTTTTTAAAAATGCACTGGCTAAATCAAAATTTTAAAGGTCATATTATTATTATCAAACTGGAAGTTTGAAAAAATAATCTTTTGTTGGATAAAAAGACAACCATTTTCAGGTCATTTTATATGGAGTAAGGTTATACAGTGAAATTACAGCGACATTGGATGTTTATACTCTGAGTGTTATTTTGTCAAGATTGGTTGGGTATGGTGGCACACGTCTGTAATTCCAGAACTCAGGATGTTGAGGTGGGAGAATCAAGGCTAGCCTGGGCTACCTGATGAGACACCATCTCAGAACAAACAAAACATGAAGTAAAACACATCCTGAGTACAAGGAGAAATGAACAGTAATGAAATGGATGGACCGACCTTCACTTTTGACAAAATCTAATGAAAATGGAAATGTAGATTAAATAGAGTGTCCTGGAGATTGTCCTTAACCAGAGATCATTTAAAAATAATTATATTAGGTTGCAAAAAGCTCTCACTAAATCCTTGATGTGGAACTTAAGCAGGACATGTTTTCTAATTCAATGAAGACTGACATTAACAGATCTATGAGGAGCAAGCATCAATTGCTTAGCAATGAGAAAAGACAGCTCATGGAATAGAAATCAGGTCAACTGGGGCTGCTGCTCAGCATGTGCTTGTCGTGTGCAGCCGTGGTGCAATGCCAGCACTATCAAACATGAGCAGGACCAAGGCAGCAGCTGCAAACTGCCCATTGCACGAGGCCAAAAAATGCTCAGAAGTTCACAGCCTCAAGTGTCTTCAGCACTGAGCTAAATATGAAAATGTACCTAATTCATTTTATTTTATCAAAAAGGACAAAAGCATCCATAGAAAAGGTTCTAGTTAGCTCTTGTCTGCCAGATTAAAAAACTAGACATATCTAGGAAGAGGGAATCTTATCTGGGGAATTGTGTCCATCAGACTGGCTGGCAGGCAAGGCTGTATGCACATTTTCTTGCTAATAATTGATGTGGTAGAGCCCAGCCCATTGTGGGTGATGCCATCCATAGGCTGGTGGTCCTGTGTTGTATAAGAAAGCAGACTGAACAAGTCCTGGGGAGCAAGCCAGTAAGCAGTATCCCTTCATGGCCTCTGCTTCAGGTTGTGTCTCCAGATTCTTGCCCTGCTTGAGTTCCTGCCTTTCAATGATGAACTAACATGTAAGTCAAATAAAGCCTCTCCTCTCCAATGCTTTTGGCTATGACGTTTATCACAGCATGATAAAGGAAGCTAGGACAGAAATGTTATGAAAACTAGTAAGAACAAAACTAAAGTGTGCCAGATGTGGTGATGTGCCAGCTGTGGTAATGTCCATCTGTAATCCCAGTACTTGCGAGGGAAGGCAAGAGGACTGAAAGTTCTTGACCAATCAGAGCTGTGTGACTAGATTCTGCTCTCTCTCTCCTCCACAAACAGCTGGGACACAGCTTGGTGGTGCAGGGCTTGTCTAGAGTGTACAAAGCTCTAGGTTTGATCCCTGTTGTTGAAAAAGAAATTAGAAATCAGGAACAATTTCAGGACCGATAAGTAATTCCAAGGATTTGTGGACCTGGGAGTAAACAGATGTGAGCTGCTCAACAGGCAAACCGAGAACACACTGAAGCAGAAGCCAGCCAGGTGCCATCTCAATACAATGAAAAGAATATTGTGAGCCACGGGGTTTTAAAGGTAATCCATCGAAATCGATAACTTCATATAAAATATATGACCCAAATTGAATGGCACAGCAGCAAAATAAAAATTCAAAGCTCCAGATGAAACTGATGGAGGTAAATGTCAATAATCTCTGAAAATGTTCCAGCTCTGGATGACTTTGCAAGTGAGCTGGAAACCTTCAAGGGCGATATTCCTGCCTTATTTAAGCTCCAGCAGGGAAGGAGAGAGGTGGAGTCTTCCTGGTTTGTGTTATAAAAGTCATGGCTGAATGCCCTGGAAGTGGACTGCTCAACCTCACATGAGAATATGTGTACACAAATCCTTAACAGAACTCTAACAACAAAACTCAAAAGAGTGTTGGAGCCCACAGTAACTCTATTTCCATATTGACTTAAGGTCAAAGAGTTCAAACTTTTTCTTGCTCCTCAAGGTCAAATAGCAGTCTGTTTGGCTACTTGATGTCTTGCTCTTCAAGACCAATTAGCAGGAGTTTAGCTAGATGTTTTGAGAATTAAGAAGGTAATTACACTTGTTTGTTCCTTGAACCATGGAAAGGAAGTCTTTTGTCCTCCCCTTTCGTTTTGGGTATAAAAGGGCTATGAGAAATAAATTTGAGGCATCTACAGTATTCACTTAAAGCCCTCCTGATTCTATCTTCTGTCTTTTGTCTCTTTCTTTTCTCAATCCTTACTCCCCTTTTCAGGCATGTTCAACAGGTAGAAGAATTTGTAATCCCAGCACTGGGGAAGTGGAAACAGGGGGAGCACTAGGGCTACCAGCCTAACTAACTTAGAAAGTTTCAGGCCAGTGGGAGCCCCTACCTCAAAAGATGAGGCCAGCTACTCCCAAGGATCAAGGCTGAACTCTAGTCTTCACATGCATGTGTAATTACAAGTGAACTTGCTTGCATACATGTGTGTACACATGTGCACACACACAAGATCAGAGATGATTTATTTCATGTATTTCAAAAGAGCTCAATATTCAGAGATCTGTCACTATAACTCATTGTGACAATTGCTCAAGGGGTAAAAAAGGAATCAATTCCCCAAATGTATTTTATAAAACTCAAAATCTATTTCTGAGAAAGGGCACGATGAGATAGAAGTAGTAAAAGAAATTTTCTCAACATGATAAAGAATAATGATCTCAAACTTTGTGGTTAAAGAATTCCATTAATGTCAGATACAAGACAAGGATGACATTCTCTAAATTATTAAACATTATTCTGAAGCCTGAGGGGATAAAATCAGAAAAAAAAAGTCAAGGGCAAAATGCTGGAGATGGAGGCAAAATGACAATGCTTACAGATTATTTGATTTTCTAGATATTAAATGCAAGGCCAGTTAGATGGCTCAGTGGGTAACAGTGCTTGCCACCAAGGATCTCACGTGGTGGGAGGAGAAAACCAACTTCTGAGTTGGGCTTCTGACCTCCATACTCATGCTATGGCATATACATACTCACACACATATACATGTTTGTACACACAAACACACACACCCATACACACACACAGATGAATAAATGAATAACATGTTTTTCAAACTCAAGGGAATATGTATGTGTACATTCAAGAAAAAATGAATAAAGATTCACTTATGACAACGAAGTTTTATATTATTTCCTAGATGGGCTTAAGACACAGTTAGATTACATAGAAATAACTAGTAAGCCTTGCTGGTAGATATTATAGAACCAGCAGATTCTAAGCTAATTCTTGAAAATATTTTTAAATTACCTCCCACATGCTAGGTACAATATTCTAAGAGCCAGCATACACATTTCCCCCACGGAGACTATATTCTGAAATAGAAATGAAGAATTTCACCTCATCTACAAAATCAATCCTAATACAATCCAATTGAAAATCCCCAAAGAATTATTTTAAGGTGTGGAAAAATAGGGCCTGACAAAATAACAACTCCAAAATGACTTTATAGAATAAATTTGTACAGAGGTTAAAATAAATAGGTGACCAACTTCACTCCTTTGTCCTATTGTCTAGGCACATGGCCAAGGGCAGAAGACACAAATGAATACAACAGAGGGCTCTGTAAGAAAACATTCTACAATATGAAAACGCTGTGAATAAAGTGAAAAGGCAAAGGAGAAACTGAAAAAATAGCTGTAAAATATTTGACATGTCATAGGGAAGTAGCATTAATTTATAAAGATTTAAAAACTTATACAAAATACAGCAGTAGGAAAATTGGCAAAGTATGAGAATAAACATTTTACTATATAAAAAAAAAACCCAGATGAAGTTTTAGGTACAGCTTGCCTCGAGGGAAATGAAATGGTAACTATCAGTCTAAGACCAGGTAGAGGAAGGGCGATGTCCATCACACTGTTTAGAGCAAGGTTGGCACAGTCTCTTTCTCTAAGATGGCGAAGGAACACAATCTGCATTATGCATAATGTCTTCAAGCACATATTTGCATTCCTCTAGCAATTCTCACAACATATCTTCAGAAGACAGCTCAGCTATTTCATCATTTTCTCATTATAATTTATCTTTAAAAGACAGTTGGGTATATGGAATCAAATTTATTTACCAGGACATTTACCACATTATAGTTCATAACAGCAAAAAGCTGAACACATTCTAAAAGTCTAACAGAGCAATTGACTCAACGGCATGCACCCACAAAAATCATATGGCAGAGTTGATATGCCATTAAAATTTTATGTGTAATGTGATTGTATTCTTGCTTTCAATAAGCTATCTATATTAAAAGAAAAAAGTCGGAAAGATACATTAAAAATATTGCTAGCGGTGATTTTGGAGTTCTTGGAACTCAGGAGTGGGTTCTGGCTTCTCTTCTCTAATGTTTTCCTTAATTCCAGCTATCACCTTATGTGTCTGAGTCATATGGAATGAGGGCAGCTTTGAGGCTGTGGGCAGAGATGCACATTCCAGGAAGGGAGCCCACGCATAGCCATAGCTATTCTCACGGCTCAATAGACACCATCCTGGCTGGTCTCCTGGATCCCTTCTTCTCTTCTCATGCCCCGTAGTTGCTTCCACCCTTCCCATGCCTGCCACCACTGACAATTCTCCTGTGGGTCTTTAATTCACGGCATCAGAAGCAGAGCCAGGCATCTCTCCACCCAGGCCTGCTAATGCAACCGCAGCTTGGCCGTTGCCTAGCAACCAAGCTGCTCCTGGTGCTTCCTCCTCCCTTCCCCACCTCATCCCTCCTCCTCCGCTCCTGGCAGACACCCAGACACCCACATACTCATGGAAGAAGCTGGGAAGACTGCGTGGGAGGTGCTGGCCATGAAGTCCGCGATCTGCCGTAGCGCCCAGATGTTGGAGGAATTGTTGCCTTTCTTCATCTGTTCCTGGATGAGACCTTCCAGCTCCTCCCTGAAAGACTGAATGAAGCAGGCAGAGGGCTTGGTGCCCGGTCCTCATGGAGAGCTGAGGGCCCACAGGTCCCTAGGGATTGGTGCCAGGCTCCTCAAAGGACCGAGGACCCTGCAGATCCCCAGGAGCTGAGAGCACAGCAAGCCTGGAGGGGCTGCTCCCTGACCTCTGCACAGGGGATGGTCTCCACCCACTCCCCTCATGTAGCTCCTCACAGGAGGACAGCTCCTGCAACTCTCCAGGGGATCGGTGTCCTTCAGGAAGGGCTAAGCACCCTGAAGGTTCCCCAGAGGCAGGGTCACTAGGGCCTCAGGTCCCTCCTTAGATTGCTGTATTGGTTGTCACGGAGACTCTGGGCACCCATTTTCTGTGTGGGTAGACCAGATTCCAGGTCCCCTCTTATGGGTGATGGTCAAAGCCACACCAGGCATGGTAGGACTTCATTTTAGATAGAATTAACTGAATGAGAAAGCGTGCCTCCCTCCATTCCCCGTTAGCACACCCAAGGCTCTTCTCACACATCCCAGTTTCCCTGTGTTCTTAAGGGCTGGAGAGGAGGGGATGGAGAAGGCCTGGAGGACTCCGTCAGCAGCTTCCACCGTGGGACACTAAGCTCGGCTTTTCTTCCCACTACACTGAACGTCTTATGTCGCTGGCCCCGTGGTAGGAGGAAGCATGGAAGGAAAGGGAGCTCTGTGAGACTCAGGACCCCGTGAAAAGAGGAAAAGAAGCAAGGCCCGTGTGTCCCCATACCCTGCCTCACCCACTAACCATGGCTGGTGCTGCTCTACCTCCCCTCCTGGCGACTCTCTGCATGTCTGGGGGCGGCCTGACTCCAAGGCCTTTAAGAACTTGATGTCTTCCTCCAGGCTCCTGAAACAGTGTCATAAAGATCCCAGCCTCATTCCTTCCCACACCTCCAAGCAGTCTGTGTGCTCCTGGTGAAAACTGCCCACAGACTGTGGGACGCCCTGTTTCAAAAAGCCCTGGAGAAGTCAGCTTCCTTCCTGGGCTTCCCAGCCTGTGTCCTGCAGAGCCCCAAGCACCATCCTCCTACTCCTCCCGCCTCCTTCCCCTGCTCTTCGTTCCTATTCAAACTCAGCCATGGATCTTTTCTGAGTTCTACCTGTCTGGGGAATGAGCTCTGAGGCCCTGTGAGGCCAGCATCAATTCCCCCAGGTCTGTAGACTCAGGGGTATCTAGGTCTGACTGGCTCCTGTCCCATCGCTCCTCTTAACTCCCTTCCTCAACCCTGGCTGGACATTCAGACTCTACCCGCCCTACAGTGAGCAGGGTACTCCATGCTACTCAGCAGAGTGTAGCCCAGGCCAGCTCCATGGCGACCCATCCTTCAGTTTCCATTGTTCTATCTGTTGACTGCTGCAACCAAGCTCAGATGTGGCATAGTGAACTGGGGCAGAGGTCTTATCTCTGCCATTTTCTGAACAAGAATTTATGCATACCCCCGGGCCTGCCCTTGACCGGTGGTTAGGGAGACAATCAAACACCCACACTGCCAAGCACGTCTCATTCAGCGAGCCTAAATTGGCAAGGCCCTGAATGAGGGGAAAGGGGCCACCGCCTTTCAGGTCCCTGGGAAACCAGCCCTGCCCTGCCCTGCCCTGCCCTGCCCTGCCCTGCCCTGCCCTGCCCTACCCACTCACAGGGCTCTGCAGGATCATGGTGACCCTCTTCTTCTGCTCCATCAGGTTGAAGTCCTGCCGCAGGTCAGCTGCACGGTTGCGAAGGCGCAGGTATTCAGGGTCATCCTCAGAGAACCGGTCAAAGTAGTGCTGCCCTTGAGAGGGTGGCGGCGAGGCCGCCTCGGGGACCGTGTCCTCACTCATGGTCCTGCTAGGGCTTCAGTCCACTACTGGAACCCTGTAGAAGGACAGGTAAGCACAGGCTGTGCTCCTAGTGGCCAACTACTTGCCGAGGCAAAGGGTGGTGTGATTCACCAAGCCCTGTAGCTACTTCCAGGTGAGAAGGCAGGCTGTCTCCTGGGATGATGACCCATAGAGACTGCTAATGCACCGTCAGGTACTGGGCAAATAAGGGTCCAGCTTGACTGGTCACACAGGAGTGTTGGAAGAGACTTCCTGGATGGAGTGGAAACATAGCCTGTAAACCTTTCTGAGTCTTTCTCTGTTGAGTCCCTATAGAGTAGGGCAGAAACTCACTGATAGCCATAGCACTTTGGTAAAAGGCCAACCTCGTTGTAGTTGGCTGCAGTGTAGTTCACAATGAAAAGTACATGCCTAGCACATCCAGGCACTGGCTGGGGTCTTTGCACAGCATCTTGGACAAATTATACAAATACCTTTTCTTTTGTAGGCCTCTTCGAAAGCCGTGGTTGAGAAATTCACTACAGAATACTACTGCTAGGAACCAGGGGGGAGTGATTCTCTAGCATGCTCCAGGAGTTGGATTCTGCCCCAGCCATCACATAAACGGGCTATGGGGACACATACCTACAATCCCAGTATTCAGGGGGTGGAGACAGGAGGCTCAGGCATCAAAGTCATCATTGGCTACTCAGAATTCGAGTCCAGCCCGGAATACATGAGACTCCGCCTTTTAAAAAGCCCTGTAATCGGTGCTGTCTGACTGATCGTATTGGGCAGATGTTTGGCAACCAGAGATGGGATGAAGGGCTGGGGTTAGACAAGAACGGAGAGGAGGAAGGGAGGGAGGAGGAAAAACTCTTACAGTTCTAAAACAGACTTGGCATAGCACAAGTCAAATGCCGAGTTCATGGGGACATCCAAACAGATTTGTCCTTTTCATCGAAGTCATGGCTATCTGACCCTGGGCTTCTCTGAACCACAGGCATCTACATACTTCAAGATTGAGAATCTCACAACTGAGTTTCACCAAAAAAGTAAAATAAAATCTCACAGTGTTTTCAATAAGCTTATGACCTGCCTCCCCAGCCCTAGAAGCCAGTGCTGAACACCGTGCCTCCATTCTGCCCCATCCAGCCCATCCAGAGCTCACATCCCATCCAAGCTATGAAGACATGTGGGCAGCAGGCTCTCTGGTTGTAGCCAAAAGTTCTCCCAGGGGTCCTGTCCACTCAGCTGCCACTGCTCTACCTGGGACTACTGTAGCAAGCCAATCTCCATAGCACTTTAAACGCCCCCAAGGCCTTGGGTGTTTTTTGAAATAGAAGCAAGTACCTCTGACCCATGAATACCCTGGTATGATCATGAACGTATGAGCTACCTACACCCCAACACACATCCTCCTAGGACTTTAGGTCACCGGTTCCAGAAGCACTCAGCTTTCTGCTTCCCTGGGCCTGGGGAGCTGTGGCCCTGCAGAGCTCATCCTGAGCTCTACTTCAGTCCATTCTGTCTAGCAGAAAGACACAGGTCCTGTCATCTCCACTGCAGAGCAGCTGTCCCCATGACTGGCTGCTCTCTGTCCGTCTTCCCTGCTCGGAGTTCAGTCATGGTTCCAGATGTCCTCCCATGAGGATGACTCTAACTCTGTCCCCAGGAATTCTGTGAAGTGAGGCACCCTTCTGCAACTCCCTTCCACAGTGCTGGCAATGATCAGTTACCTGAAGACGGCTTCGTGGGTAAAGATAGCAATGCTGAAACAAAACCATCTGGGTTCAAATCTCGGCAATGCCATTTAGAAGCTGTGTGGTCTTTGGTAGGGTCACCTAACCACTGAACATCAGTTAAGGGATAGTAAAGTTTGGTATGTGAATATTTAAGACAGGGCCTGCTACATGGCAACTGTGATCAAGTCTTTGTCTACAGTCTTAGTAGGTGCCTCTGAGGAGGTGTACTCTTCTTCCATTAGGAACTTCATGAGGGGAGGCAGTGATTCATCTATAAGCAGGTGCACACTAAACAACTATAATGATGTGTTTTAGCCAGAGAAGTCAATTCAGTATTGAGCTTTGTTAACACAAGGGACACAGAAAGGAAAATGATGCATCAGCCCAGAGATCACTGGGCCAGCTATGGTGGAGGTAAACTTCTGGGATGCTGCCCCAGTACTTGTACCAAGATTCAAATATCCCTTGAAATCTGTTCAATGTCCAAAAGAAGAGTTTTTGTTATCACTCATCATTAGCTGGAGTTTGTGCTTCACAAAGGTGAGTGCTATGGGCCTCAGATAGCTTCCAGGGAGAGTCTGGCCACCCAGAAAGACCAGACGTGCAACCCAATTAGAAGTTAAGGGTTTCTGTTCCACACCATAAACATGCATGCACACATTCTCATTCTCTCTCCCCGACTCTCCCTTCCCTCCAGAGGTTGAGTTCCATTAAAAGACAAATGATCCATGCCTTTGCCTTAACACTCCTTCTATAAGCTGGGCAGAGGAAGACTGCAGACCCTCAGATTTTCATGGCGGCATGAGAGAGGATGTCCCACCAGCAGGAGCAGCCGATAAAGGAGGAGGGGACACTGGCTGGTGTTGTCTTACCGGTGGGCTGAACCAGGCCTGTCCGATATCTGTCTTCAGTACCCGGTCTTCACGACTAGGAAGGCTGGCACAGCCACACGTCACACAGCCAGGTGGGAACTGCCAACAAAAGGACAGACATCAGATCCTTGGCCACCTCATTGCCACTGAGGCTCTTCACCGGCCTTACCCGTGGACGCTAGGAAACACTTAAAAATGATCTGGAACTATGGACAGCCCCATGGAGGGCCTCACCCTCCCTGGGGAAATGAGGGAAAACTGGGGGGGGGGGTTGGTGGGAGGGCATGGGAGGAGGGGAGGGAAACGGAGAGGGACCTGGAATTGACATGTGAAGCAACCTTGTTTCTAATTTAAATTTAAAAATAAAAAATATAAAAATAAATAAATACATCTTTAAAAAAAGAGAAATTGGAAAAGATGTTATTTGCCAACCCAACGTCCTTGCAACAGGCTGGTTTGGTCAATAATGAAATAAAAAAAATGATCTGGAAGTGAGTGTATAAACTCTAAGCATGACTATCAACAGGCTAAGAAGGTTCGCGACGCCTTTATAACCCAACTCCAACTTCCTTTAAAGCCCCATTTTCTGGGTACAGGCTGAGGGAGGAGGGGGAAAGGAAGGAGGCAAGGAGGGCAGGGAGAAAGGAAGGGAGGAAGGAAGGCCTAAGGTGGAGGAGAGAGGAGAAAGACCGGAGGAGGAGGGGAGGAGAGAGGGGAGGAGGAGGGGACTGGGAAGACAGAGAGGAGAAAGGGAAGAGGTAAGAAAGGAGGGGAAGAGGCAGAGGGAAGGACAGGCAGCCGTTACACTTGCTCTGAGATTGGGAGAAGCAGAATATGGAGGCAGGAGAGAGGACTCCTAGCCAAGACCTCCCCACGCTTTACTAACAGCCCCTGGACTCACAGGTGCCAGGGTGCGGAATCTGAGGATCACTCCCCAGACACAGAAACAGCCTGAAGGATAGATACCACACCCCAGGAAAGTGGGGTTGTCTTGGACTGGAAATGACTTTACACAGAATGCAAAGAAGGAATGGACCCAGTCAGGATCAGGAGGGTGAATCACCTAAGTGGGGAAAGCCACTAACAACCAACGTGGGAAAGTCAAAACTCTGGGCCGAAGATCCTCAAAGATCAGTGGGCAAGGGATGTGTGTGTGTGTGTGTGTGTGTGTGTGTGTGTGTGTGTCTGTGTGTGTGTGTGTGTGTGTCTGTGTCTGTGTGTGTGTGTGTGTGTAACCAAGAGCTCTTGTTTTCACCTGGATGTCCTGTTGCCCAGTCTCCAGGTGTTTGGCTATCTTACCTAGGGCCACCCTCCCCTATCCATCCCACCTACAGCTTGGCTTGGCTCTGTTCTTCCCTTGTCCTGATGCTGGAGTAGGAGCCATATGGGGCTTGGCCTCCCAGTGAGGAGTCAGGAAGAATGGATTTGGGATGCCCACGCCTGTGCTCACTGAGACAGTCCCCTCCACAGCCCAGCCAGTGGGACTGGAACTTTGCATCTCAGTACCCTGCCGTCTCCAAGGCCAGCCCTGAGACTCATCATGCTGCCTCGGTGACTGAAATGCTTCCAGGAGCCAAGCTCTATGTTTAGCTTGTCTGGCACCTGCTGGTGATTTTTCTTCATTACTGACCCCATGATGCAGCTGCTGACACCCTTGATGCCCTCCCTAAGAATTAGTCCTGCCTCAGAGGTCAGAACTCAGTAAGACTTGAATTGCTGGAGTCTGAACACTGTCTTATGTTCAGTAAAGCATTCACCCTGGAAGTGATGAGGAGGCAGACATCTGTCGCCTGTGAACAATATAACCCCAGTCTCAGTACCCCAGGTTCCTGTGCCTGAGGTCTCGGTTTCACTGCTGACTGAAGTGAAATGGCTCTGAGGTCTCACTCATCACCTGTAAACCACTACCTGGGTTGACAACTCTGCTTAAGCACAGACTGCAGAGTCAGGCCGCACTAGGCTGGAGCAGGCAGGAGATCAGCGTAGTTTACGGATGGCTTTGCATTGGCCAGAGCACTCCCAGCAGCACCGGCTCCTGGCTTCCTAATGCATGCTTCAAGAGGTCCCCTGTCTTAGCTGGGATTTCTGTTGCTGTGATAAAACACCATGTCTAAAGGCAACTGAGAGAAGTCAGGGCAGGAACTCATGGCAGGAACCGGGAAGCGGGAACTGACACAGAGGCCATGGAGAAATGCTGCTTAGTAGCTTGCTCTTGTGACTTGCTCAGCCTGCTTTTTTATACAACCCAGGACTACCTGTCCAGTGTTGGCAATGCCCACGGTGGGCTGAGCCCTCCCTCCTCAATCATTAATCAAGAAAATGCTCTATAGACATGACTGCAGGCAATCTGGATGGAGGTATTTTCTTAACTGAGAGCCCCTCATAGTAAATGACTCTAGCTAGTGCTCAGCGGACATAAAACTAACCAAGACACCTCTACATCTGGCTCCCAGCCCCCAATGAGCTGGGAAGCAAATGGTAGAGTGGACTAGAGGGCTCAAGTTGTGGAGAAGAAGCACTTGACACCCTGACATTGCTAGGTGACTCAGAGAGCTGAAACACATGGCACCCCAGGGCCACCCACTCTTGATATGCCGCTAAGCAGGGCTATAAGGCATGAAGGGTCTCACAGGGGATTCCAGTTTGTGCTTGCCCAAGAGAAGGGGTACTCAGGCACAAAACTTCTAAAGGACCTTCTCCACCCACAAATCCATTGCCATCTTAATATTACCAGCCCAGTGGCCCTGGCTTTGGCCAGCGCATACCATAGCCTCTCTGTGCTTGGCTGGCCCACCTCTCTGCTCTAACCAGCCGCTGCCACAAAGCACACCCGAGAGTCAACCTGGACTCTTCCCTCTCCTTCCCCTGTGGATTTCAGTCACAGAGCTCTTCTAATGTTAGGTCTCTTTGTCTCTGCCCCTCAATGGGAGGTAGCCTGTGTGACCCTTCCTGTCTCCTGACCACTGTCCAACTGGTTGCCAGATACACTGTCTCAAAATTGCAACCTGGCCCCTGCCTGCCTCGGTCCTGCTGAAAACCCAGCATCCTTTGACAGGGGCTCTGAGCTGGTGCCTTAAATTCCTGCTCTTTCAATCAAAACTTAGTCAAACTGAGATTCTGTTACAAAAGTGGCAAGCATTCATTTTTTTGGCCAAATATAAAACTATAATTATGAATTTGCCTTTTTGCTTTTTTATTTATTTAAAATGAATTTGCTTTTTAAATCCAAATGTATGCTCCCTGGGTGTTGAATCTCATTGACCCCCACCAAGGAGCTGTGGTGTGTGCACTCATGTGTTTCTCTCTCTCTCTCTCTCTCTCTCTCTCTCTCTCTCTCTCTCTCTCTCTCTCTCTCTCTCTCTCTCTCTCCTCTCTCAGTTCCCTCTCTCCCTCCCTCCCTCTCACATCCCCTTAGAGAGGCCACCTATATAATGAAATCACACCCTGAGGTGACATTCAGTGTCTGCTCCACCCTCTAGTCCCATCATGCTTTGAAGCTTAGGGACAATGGGGTCTTCCAGGAGCATCTTTTCCTCTTTACCACTCCTGACACTCAGGTGTCTTCTTTCTGGGGAATCTGTCCAATCTAGCTGTCACTCATTTTCATTTATTGTTTTCATTCATCTTGCAACCCAACAGCAACAGGTATTCCCCGAGTTCCCAGCAGGTGGAAGGAACGGTGTTTTTGATGTTTCTCTGTTCTAGGACTGGTGTAAAGCAGATGCTGGATAAATGCTAACCGACTGAGGAAACATTTGACTAATGCTCTGGGAAGTAGGGTCAGTTCAACAAAGCATCATCAGGTCCATCCAGGCCTCAGGCCCCAGAGACAAGGAAGGCCTAAGAGAGAGTCCACAGCACACAGTGGAGAGACAGAAGTCAGGCAGCTCCTTAGAGAGAAAGGTGACAGGTACCCTGGGAACTAAGTTACAACCTTGTAAACACTGTGCTCTTGATGTACAGCCCAGGCTCTGGGCCCTCAGGCCAGTCTGAAACAGACTCCAGCACGTCTCCTGCCACATCAGTGGGTGTCTCTGGACCAGAACAGTCATGGGCTCGGTACACAAGGCCTACATAGCCATGAGCTGTCCTTCCCCTGCCACAGGCTCAGCTGCCTGAAAGCCCAGCCCTGTCCCCTCCCAGGTCAGTTCTGAACAGGGCAGCCACAGGCACTTCCTGAAAGTCTCCGGCATGGTATCAGAACCACGGTCACACAGCATTTATGCTGCCAAGCAAGCCCAAGTCCACATGCAACACTGACCCCAGGGTCCCAAGAAGCAGGCGATGTCCACGTCATACACTACATCACAACCCACAGCTCTCTCACTTTCCAAAATCCCCTTACCCCAGTTTTGTCTCCCATGGGACCCTTGCTGTCTGCACATGAAGCCCTGGAGCCCTGGACGCCCCTCCCGCTGTGGCCCTATCTTTGCCCTCCACAGCTCCAGGCTCCGGGAGGCTGGAGGCACAGCTGTGTTGCAAGTCACTGCCAAGGGCATTTCCCTCCCTGTCTGGTTGAGGGCAAGTCCCAGTGGTCCCTGAGGGTGCACTGGCTCCCTCAGGCTGGAAAGAACAGAGCAGACACAGGGAAGAACAGACAGGAGTCCACATGGCCAGACATTGCTAAAATCTGAAGATTAAGCTCTGTGTCTTGAGTGGTGGGTGACCATTTCCTGACACTTCAGTGGTGCGTTCTCCAGATCAGAACAGACAGTCACATGCTTGACACACAGAGCCTAAACAGCCATGAGCTGCCCTCACCCTGCTGGTCACCACTACAGGTCAGCCCTGCCTCCTTCCAGGTCAACTCTGGGCAAGGCAGCCCACGGGTGCTTGCTGCAACCCTCACACAAGGCATGTGAACCCACACTCACCTGTCCCCCATCCTTGTAGACTCCCACAAGTGGAAGAGGCAGCTGCCGGGGCCTTACTGCTGTTATACAGAATAGATGTGGGCAGTTAAATAAGAGACTCGGCCACACCCTGCCTGCCATGTTCAGATAAAGGCAGGATCACGGGGGACACTTATCGCCCTCACACCACTTGATTCTAGTCTTCCATGTTCCGCCTCATATAATAACCACTGTGGTCATTTAGGA